ACAGATTGTCTGGTTCAGAGGAAGCAATTGGCAGGTAGGAAGTCATGTTGCTGGGTTTTTTCCATTTCATTCCACGACTACCTTTTTATTTCACTGTTAATTATACTTTTGGCATTGTGGCCAGGAAAACAGCTTCAATGTGGATTGGTACCATCCATTGCTTTGTTTTTCCTACAGTTAGGAAAGCACTTGTATTTTAACTTTTCCCTCATTGAGAATATTGGGTTTAAATGACCTGGCTGTAAATCATGATCCCAAATGATTTCACAGCTTCATCCCTCTGCACAGAGGCCATCCCAGCTGTGTTAGCGTTTGCTGTGCTGACTGCTGCCTGTTGCTGTGTTGTCACAAGTGTCCTGCGCTCATCTGCACTGCACTCCCCAGCTTCCTGCAGCCCTGATGCAGGCTGGCAGGAATGCATGCAGCCAGCTTTGCCTTGACACTGTGCCTGAACTAGTAAAAATTCTTGGTGCTGGGAGCACAGGATGCTGCAAGGTAGTTGGCTTCACCTGGGTGCAAGGTAGTGGCTTCATTTGGAGTCTCTGCCATTTCTGCCAATGTTCTTGCCTTTGGAAATGCCATACAGACAACCAGAACACTTCAGTTCAAATCAATAAGGACTCCAGTCTTTTGCTGGAGAAAAAGGTTTTGTAACATTTCCAGACACACGCCAATCCAGAAGTGTAGGAATCTTTGCACAAAGCTGCATGTAGGCTAATGAGCCCAACTGGAGCTGGTTTGTTTCTGCATCTCTGGTACAGATAATCTGACCACGGGTAATTGAGTGTTGACTCTATAAATAACTCATCTGTACACACTGCAATCCTGCCCTTTAAAATGTTTTCTCTTCTTCCTGTTGGCTCCCAAGCTTACTCCCCTTATAATTGTTTTTTGACTGACCAAAGGCTGCTTTCGCCTCTTGGCAAAGGGTTGTGCTGTTCATTCTTCCCACCTAATGTGACATTGCATCTGGCATGGATGAAGCCAACTTAACCCCTATAGGAAAGTCATCCCAGAATGCTTCACCTGTACTCAGGTGGTTTAAAAAAAAAACAAACAAAACAATTGGTACATGTTCTGTGAGACCTCCTGTGGCATTTAAAATCATAGACATGTATCATTCTCTTCCATTCAGGGCAGGGATTGGAAGGTTGGTATATCGTTTATCCAAAGCGTGGCGTTGTAACACATGAAGTTAGTTACAATGAGCAATAGTTTAGGCACACATTCAGAAGTATGACACAAAGTGCATTTAACTGGGATTCTCTTAGGCTGATTTGTATCTCTTTATGTCCTCTTAGGGATGAGTTTCTTCGGTTTACACTGCTAGACATCGTAAATGATACGAGTTGAATTTGAAACCGTCTTTTTTAGGTCTTAACTTGCAAATAAGAGTAGAACTAAAGAGGTTCTGAAGGAAAAGGAGCAGCTACCAAAGTGCCTTTACAGAGACCCCTCTATGGTTTGGGTATGTCTGTAGTATTGTTTGCTTGCAGTTTGCTTCTGTGGAAGGCTGAGGGTTTGGGTGTTTGTAAGTGCAATTGTATGTAGTGAGAGAAACACAAATAAGTGACCTCTCCAGGAATTATTTTGGACTTCCCTTTGGAGGCTGTGAATGTGGGGTTATAACCCATGGATATCCCTGCAGTGTTCTAAAGAACTGGTTTTGTTATTTGTGGCACATAATCAGCCTGAAACAAAAGGAGCTGATTTATCTAAAACATTGGGAATGAGAAAATACTCTGCACTGACACTTATCAAACCTGCTATAAAGGCAGTGTAATACAGAATGAAACTGAAATGCAAGCTCATTAAAATTTCAAAACAAACCTGCAGTTCCCAGTTGGACAGATCTGTTTGGTTAACTTGATTTTCAAAAGCTGTCAGAATATCCGAAGGGGATTCATTTGAGGCTGGGGAATATCCATGAGGAGTGACAAACACAGAAGAACAAGTAAAATTACCATGTAAAAATGTAAACTTGAGTTTCCTGAAAAATAAATATAATAGCAACAAGGCTCATCCAATTACACTGATTTTTCCCTCAGAATTTTTAACTCCCTACCAGTATGGCATTAAAGATGCATAGTTTCAGTGATTCTTTGAAAATCAGCAACTATAAAGAGACACATTCATTAACATGCCCCCAGAGAACAGCATTTGGTGTGGCAGCAGCACTTGTGCTCTGGCAGTTGTTGCATGGGTGCCTCTACACCAGGCATTGCTCAGACTGCCTCGCAGGAGCAGGGGGAACACAAAGGACGCTAGAAATGGGGCGAGATGGCAGCAGTGCTGCAGGGCAAGGCAGCTCACGGCGATCGAGGTGTAGAGAAAAAAGCCACGGAATTTTAGAAAAACACTTTTCACTATTTTTCTGCTAATGGAACAGCTTGCTGTTAGTACAGAGAGAAAATATATATGTACGTTGTATCATGAAAATGCTGGTTTGGGATTCCAAAAGCCAAAACATTTAAGTAGTAAATTACATCCAAGCACTGCAAGGCTGTTATTCGCAGCTAATTCAGTAGTGCTACCACTTCTGTACGTGATTATTCTAAGGAACACTGAAATAAGTTATCTGGTTATTGAGTAAACTCTGGCATGATACTGTGCGTATAAACCAATCATGAACATATGTCTCCTAAGGATGATAAGTTGTTTCCTCTGAGTTATATAGTACAGTAGTGTTGTTGGTTTTTTTTTGCCAGAGTCCTGAAATATATGTATGCTGCTTAGACACGGCCCATCTTGCTGTAATGTTTGCTTTACTCTTTTATCTGTACAGCAGTTGTTTTTAGCTACTTGAAATCTGACTCTGACTGTTAGTAGTATCTGTAATGTGGTTAGTACCGTTAGCTCAGTTACCTGAAAAGCTGTTGTGATTGCATTCAGCATTGTGGGAGGAGCTGAATACCATTCATCCCATTAGTTTTGATCTGAGTATGGAGAAAATATGACATCTAGTGCTGAGCTCACTGTGGAGTCCTGCCAGCCACCTCATTTGTCCATCCTTAGATTCTCTTAGCTCTGAAAAGAAATGCTGTTCTGTTTAGATTAAGTAAATCATTGAATACCCTTTTTTCTCTAATAGTCCTATTGTAGATAAGGGGAAACATCCGATGAGTTCCTAAAGTGTTAATATATCTAAATTACTTTATTTTGTAAATTTCATTGAAGATGGAGATTGAGATGCAGTGACATATTTTACCTGAGAAATACATGTAAATAAATAAGATGACCCTTGATGGGAAGGATCTGCCCCAGGGGGCTGGTCATACCAAATTTCCCACTATTTCCAGCAGTGTGTTTGGAGCAAAATGATTTAAGTCCTGTGCTTCAGGGAGGGAATAGATGAGTCGCTTTTGAATTTGTGTATCTAATAAACTAGACCGCTGCCGCTCATGTTTTATTTCAGTGCTAAACATAATACTATGTCCAACAAATAAACAAACAAATTAAAGATTTCTCTTCACATGCAGCCACGAAATCACCCGTAGAATTCCTGCTTGTCTGCAGTGCTGCTGTTGCTTGAAGGAAGTATCATAGCTTGACTGCCAGAGAACTTAGTAAGTTGGGGCTGGTAGTGCAGGTAATGGAACACCCATGCAGAAGGCAGGCGAGGGCTGTCCTTGCAGGATGAGCACAGGGTGTAGGATGGCATTAACCCCACACCCTCCAGGCAGTTCAGAATGTCTCACAGGTTTTACGTTGGACTCTCAGAGCATTGCTTCCAGCGCAGCTGGAAATTTCCATGCCAAAGCTCTCCTCGCTGTTCTTTGGGAGAGTATCACTGAAAAAAAAACAAAAAATTTTACCTACGATTCATTTGCTTTTACATATGTCTTTTTTGCCCAGGGATTTCTGGTATAACTGAGCTGAGAAAAGCTGAGTTCCAATAGCCAACCAGGCGGTTTTGCTGCGGTAGCAGTGCGCCAGGGAGCAAATACCAACTACACATTCAGAATTGTGTCTTTATAAGAAGTGGTGACTTCCTACTGAGACATCCAACTCCTTTTTGAAGCAAGTTAATACTGTGCATTGTTACTATCCCATTTTATAGCTGAAGAAGTAGGCCCTGTCGCCAGAGTTACGTCTAGGTCTCCTGCTGCCGCGATGCAAGGCGTGATGTTGGCAGCAGGACGGGGTATTTGCCCTGCCATCGTCCTCCCAACTCTGTTACGCCGGGGTGCCTCGGGGCTGCAGGTCTCGGAGCGCTCGCAGAAGGAGCGAGCAAGCAGCCAGCAGCTCCGCTTCGCATTTGGCGCGGTGAATCCAGTTGGAAGCAGTTTTGTGCTGTGGTGGAGCTCTGCTTGACCCTTCCTTTTTTTTACACTTCCTACTGAATAGAAATAAGTGTTCTGGGAAGCGCTGAGTGTTTTTTATGGAATTTGGCCATTTTTAAGAGATTTGGCCACTTAAGAGTAATTTAGTGGTATTCCAGAGATTATTCCCGCTGCCTCATGTGTAATTACCCCGTTATCCCACAAATGAAGGATGTTTCAGGAAAGCAGCAGGCTTGTCCTGCTCGTCAGACACAAACACCCCCCTCTTTCCTGAATCAAGAAAGAAAAAAACAAAACCAAACAAAACCAGAGCGTCTTCCTCTCACTAGGCACCCGTGGGTTTGTTGCTTTCCATTTTACACTTCGGTTTAACTGCGCTTAACTTTCAGTTGTATCAACAGTCCAAAAAAAAAAAGAAAAAAAACCCAACCCACAGCTGCTTTCAGTGCGTGTTGTTCTTGGCGCGGGCCCCGCGCTGGTGTCCGACTGGTAGGACCTGAAACCCGGCGCTCGGCAAGTGCCTGGAGTCAAAACAGGCGGCGCGCGCGGGCCGGCGGCGCTGCAGGGCAGGTCAGCCTCTGCCGGCAGCGCGTGCGGAATGCCGCGCTCCTCTGACGGCATCTGCGGCAGCGTGAATCATCGCGCGTTCCAAAAGTGCGTGTTTACGGCCGTCGTAGAATCAGATTAAGTTGGCAGCCCGCTCCTCGCTGTAAGTGGCTCGGTTTACGTTTCTTCTCCCTGCGGGATGTTTTGCATAAGTTTGCCGACCCTTCGCGTTGGTAGGCTTTGTGAAACGGAGAGTCGTTTCGGTGGGTTCGTGTCAGAGAGCGGAGCTCCTGTTCGTCGTAAATAAACACGGGCAGAAGGGTGGTTATTTTAGCACTTGATAATTTCCCACTTATGTCATTTGACCTGGATTGAAGCTGTGATTGCTGAGCTGCGTCCTGCGCAGCGTGTCGGCTCCGGGGTTGAGCTGGCGGTGCGTTTCCTTTGTCAGTTTACAAGAAGTATCAAAATGAAACTGGCTGTGCCGTTTCCTTCGCGGCGCGCTGCGGGGAGGAGGAGCGCCTCGCGGGCACCGTTTCCTCACTGGTTCGGCCGCGCTCCGGGCAGCGCTGTGCCCACGAAGCGGGTAAAGTTGTCCTTCGCTCTCACGACGTTATGCTGCAGTTGGTTTGCACCGAGCCTGTGTTTATTTTTAGCGAGCTGCACGTCCTGCCTTTTGTTAGGTTGTTGGGGTTTTTTTGTCTTTTTTGTTCGTGGTTTTTTTTTTTTTTTTAGACCGCGGTTGCAAAATGAAAGTGCTTACAAGGTGTTTATGAACTCTTGTTAGGAAGCAGCTGCCAGTTGCTGCAGGATGACACATTTCTGCAAGCAGGCGGCTCGCTGGGCGTGCTGTGCGCTGGCTCTCGCTTCTCAGGCATGTGCCGTTTTCTTCCTGGTTTGGTTTGATTAGAATTAATGCCGAGTGCCTTTTTAAACTTTGAACTGGGAGAAGTACCAGGTGGAAGGTTTCCCTTTACTGTTTGCTGAAATTGTAAGTATGCGTTGCTCAACTCCGCACGGTGTAACAAAACACCTCAGGATATACTGTAAATAGAAAACCTGTAATTGGTACATAGGTGTTGGATGGCGTTACCATAAGTAACGGGCTCATAACAGCGCCGGGCTCTGTTGTGAAACGGAGTCACCTGTAGATGAGACACTAAATTGCATTAACGTCTGCTTAAATATTGTACGCGGGGAACGATGGGCGGTATTCGTATCGTGTACGGGAGATCTGGTTAGTTTCTGCTATTTTAAATAAAAGGGCTATAAACGTGAGTGTTGTGGTGATCCTAAGCTTGAAAGGAATGGTGTTACACCGTTTCTGTTTATTAACAGCAAATAACATTCATACGTGTCTGGGTTTCAGCAGTTGTGTCTTGTGTTTTCCAAACGTGGGCCCGAGCCGCGGTCCCTCACGCCGCTCACGGAGCTCCTCGTGGCCCAGCTTTGCTCTGGGCCTGCTGCGTGTGGGAAGCAGGGCTGTGCTCAGCGAGAGCTATGTTTCACAATGACTGCTGCTGACAGAGATCTGGCACGTCTCTTCCAACAAAGTTAGAGGGATTTTTTGTTCAAACTACCTGCAAACTGTACTGAAAGACCAAAGGCACATCTTCTGCGCCCCAGCTGTCCCATGACTCCTTCCTGTGCAGCCTTCTAAGTCTCGCCAGCGGAGGGGACACTAACTGTGAGCTAAAGCTGTTCCCTCAATTGGGTGAATTTTAAGTAGAGCAGGCGGGGTAAGAAGGGATGCAGATGGGATGTACTGTGTGTGGTGTTGAAGTGTAGTCCAGGCAAGAGAGGTCTGTGGTGTCAGTATTGTGTAAAGGTCTTTTCTGGGTGCAAAATGACTGCAGTCTGCCTATCAGCACATGGTTGGCATAAAGTACTGGCAGTGTGTTTAGTGCTGAGGCGTTACGTTTAAGGCTTGCTATGAGCTAAGAGGGCATTTGATCTGATGTGAGAGCCAAGGTGAAAACTAGAGAAGATTCTTTCTACTTCAGAATGTGCTTTTACCCCTTTTCTCACACACTGTGGATCTGGAGATTGTGTTGCTTTTCTATTGCTTTGCTTTTTCGCGTGTGATTAGGAGATGCGGCGTTTCCTGCAAAACAGCTGCTAGTATTCCCCTGTGGCCAGTCACAGAGGATACGTGGAGTTAAAGATTCAGAGCCAGTCCTAGAGGACTTGGGCAGCTGCAGCTGAGGTTGGGGACAGGTAGGGGGCTGCATCGTGTGGGACACTGGAGGAGGAGAAAGGGAGCAAGAAGGAGAGAAGCTGTGGAGGCTGGGGGACTGTTAAGTCTCCGACAACATAAGGACTTCACATCTAGCAACAACAATTCAGATTTGGCTGAGAAAGTTGGATGGTATCCATGTTTCCATAGGACATGGAGAATCTCCTGGAAAAGTTTAAGATCGTATGCAATGCTACCAATGCTTGAAATGTGCGTGAGGACAGTATGTAGCATTGAGTTTGACTCCAAAAAAGAAAGAAACAAAAATATTGATCTGAAATAGATTCTTTAGGAAGTGCAGTTAATTCAGTGCGAGCGTGCTAAACTTCTCTCCAAGATTCGTGTCATTAATACATTAACTGTTTGACAGCAGCAGTCACATGTTGCTCGTCAGTTGCCACAGGGGCTGCACTGAGACAGCTGAGAGGTTGCAGGAGGATTAGTGTGGGGCAGAGGACTGGAACTTTGATCGTGCCCTGTTTGTGGAGGTGACGGCAACAGCTATTTGGGGAAGAAAAACAGAAAATGCACTGTTATTTTTGTGGAGTGAGCATCTATTCGGATGTATTCAGAAAGTTCTCTCATGTTTTAAACGAGTGCACATTCATAGCATTGCATGCTTCTGAAGCAACGGGAACGGCGGTGAAGTTTAGGCTGTTACTTTGTGAGTGGTAGCTGGATTTCCATTTGTCTCGCACTTCTCTTTTTGTGGGGCAAAAACTTTCAATCTGCTTTGGGTTCGTGTCTAGCCAGTGACTGTGCTGTTTGCTCATGCAAGCAGGGACAGCTATGGCCACAGCTGTGTGTGCATGAGCTCAGCTGCCCACTGCGTGCCATTTGTCTGTGCATCAACTGCAGAGGGGTGTCCAGGTTCTTACGTGGCTGGGCAGTTACATGCTGGATGTGCCAGTACAGGAATATCTTGTTTTGTAATGGCCGTCTGATCTGTAAATGTCTTATATTCACATTTATTACATAGGGTGGATGACAGCAGACCAATAACATAACAAGTAAAATGTTAATAGGCAAATTAGCAGAATTTTGTAAGGAGGCGGTGTGACCAGGAAGTTCATTTTGATAGGGAAGCGCAGCCACCCTGCACACACAGAAAGAAAAAGAGAAACAAGTGCCAAAGACGATAGCTTGTGCAGAGGAATACAGCAATATTTAGTTACAATTTATGCCCATCCCCCCCGCAGTATGGCTTTGTCGGTGTCATTTCCCACCTTGGCTGTCCGGCCTCCTGCTCCAGGTCCTGCGTCCTGCCCTGCTGTCTGTGCCCGCCCAGGAGCACAGCTCTGCGAAGGTGCTGCTGCCATCAGCTCCTGCTCCTGTTGCAGTGATGTTACCTCACGTGAGCAAACAAGTCGATTTTCCCTGCTGCAGCAGTGCCTGATGCCGTCGTGCAGCACCAACTGTTCACATTCTTCCTTCTGTATAACTTTATAGTGGTCGCAATTTCCATTCTACACTTAGGAGGTTTTAAGAGAAGCTGAGTAACACTGGTAGTGCTCAGATAAGTGTCAGAAGTATGCAGGACTTTCTGTAGCTGTGTATTGGGCAGTTTGGAGTTGAAAGGAAATGCCAAGTGCAGCAGTCAGTTCTGATTGCAAAACTGAGCACCGATCTGACACATAGAGATAAAATAAATAGTCATGTGATCTTTTCCTTCCTTGTCTTCTGGGTAAATTTTTATTTTAAAGAGGGGGGTACATGTTACTGGAATGCCATGTTACTGCTATCCTATCATTTTGTATGTTACGTTGAAAAAAGAAAAGCCACCAAAGCCAATGCACTGTTTTGCTCTCAGGAATTAATGAATTGAAGAAGTTGTCTTGATTTAGCTTGATCAAAAATCCAGTGTAAGGCAAATCTTAAAAAATACCCTGCTATGGCATGTGATACTTAGATGACTTTAAAATATAATTTTAGATGGCCCGTGTCTTGAATGTCCGTGTTTCCGGAAGATTAATAACACAGTAGTGTACTTCACTTCCAAATATATCCTTAGGGGCGGTATCAAACATATGGTTTACCAGGGGAGAGTCGGTCTGGAGAACACTGGGAGCTATGGCAAAGATCTGAGTGGTTTATCCTGAATTTGCATGATTTGTATGTGAGAAGCATGTTTGTTCCAAGTTTCACCTTCTATGTGGCTTGGTTTTACTGGTTAAGCAGCAGTTGCTTTTTCATCAGCCCTCAAGTAATTAATGGTAAAATCACACATTTTTATTAGGCTAATTTCAATTGATTAAATAGTTGCTGGGAAGGTTGGTAATTGTTAAAACAATAGCTATTATTTAACTAAACAAACATTCTATGAATAAAACTCCACATTTCAGAGGCAAATGCATAGCTTCCGTGGGCGTTACACAAATGAGTCGTGAAATGAGTGTATATTAATTGCATCCAGGAAAAGACTTCTGGAGGTAGAGTCTGTATGCTGAGACCTGTGGCAGGGTGGAAACCAGCACATGATGGCAGGGTGAGAACCAGCATTCGGGGGTGAAAGAAGCTGCTTTTTATGTTAAAAATCAGTAAGAATGTTTGGGTCTTCAATTATGGGAGATTCTTGAGTGCATTTCTGCAATTGTAGTTGAAGCTTGGATATAGAGGTTTGGAAGTGCCTAATCTTTAAAGGAAAACATCTTTATTTAGTCACTAGAGATGTAAAAAGAACAGTTGAAAATATTCTTCATATGTATTTTAAGCATTTCTCTTTGTTCTTGAGGTATTCACCTATTGCAAATCAGTCATGGATGAATCCCTATTCTCCCAGCATGTTTTTACCCAAGGAGATGCCAGACAAATTGCTGTGTTTTGATTCTCTGTGGGAAAATTTTTCTTAGTTCTCCTTAAAATATCAAACCAGGGAGCATGGAGTTTGTGTTGTGGATATAACACTTGTCCTTGGAGCAGCAGGTTGCCATTACCACCTTACGCCGCTCCTGGCTGACGGGGTGATGCTGGGCAGGCCCAGAGAGCAGCACCCAGCCACACCGCTTTCAGTGCGGGAGGCTTTAGACCTGGACAGTTTGCTATGTGTTGGTAAAGTTCTTGGTCTGTTACCACCCTGTTTGGAATCAGAATTGTTAAGGTTGGAAAGACCACTAGGATCATGTAGTCCAACCATCAACTCATGCCCACTCTAGACCATGCCACTCCCTGTGACATGCACCCTTTTCAACTAGAATAGAGAGGAAGAATTTCCTCTTCCCTGATCTTTATTTTTTCTTTTAGCCTATGAAATGCTCTAAAGTTTATTATTTTTCCATTACAGAACGAAGACACGGTTCAATGTGCAAACCTTCCCCTTCTCCAGCTTCTCCAGCTTGCAATTCCAGGACATCCCTAGTGCAGATGAAACCGAAATCCTGTATCAGCGGCCATAACCCTGTCAGCAGCAACTCAAAGCCATTCAAAACGCCCAAAGACAATCTACTTACCTCCAGTAGCAAACAGCACACAGTCTTTCCTTCAAAAGTTTCGAGGGATAAACCATGGTGAGTACCAGAAGAACCTGAGCTGTTGGTGTTCAGAAATAAGTATCTATGCGTAGTTCATGATCACAAAAAAAAACAAAAATCTGTTCTCTCTTCTAAAGTTTACCATTTAAGCCCCTACCTTACCTAGGGGAGGAAAATATGATGTTTTTAAAATATAGTTTTTGGGGTTTTTTTAATATACTTATATCTGTATATATATGTATATATGTGTACACATACATAAGGATGACATATGTATGTCTGCGTATATTTGAAAAGGAAAAATGAGCCGATTTACTTATCTGATGTTCCGTCAAATTTTGGCTTTCCTGAGATGCAAGTGTGGGATCAGACCAGTTTGCTATCTTCAAGGTCCACCTGTCTTCACAATATCAGCCCTTAAAACTGATGCTTTTAATCAGCAACATAATTTTTGTAGAGTTCTTAATATTGACTTAGCTCGTGTTCATGAAAACGTGCTGCTTCCAGTCATTTATCTTCAACAGCAGCTGCTGTTGGAGCTCCTTCTGTATTTTGATAACATGTGCTGCTTTATAAGACAGAAGAAAATTCCAGCTGCAAAAATCACTGTTTTGTGGGAGTTTTGCATCATGTATAGCGACAGATACCCATATACAGTCTTGGAGACTGCCCGCCTCATCCTCCCATGACTCTGATGGTTGCAGCATAGTTGCAAAAATGTAAAAGAGAGTTGAACTGGGTCATAGTTTTATCCCTTAATAAACTAGTATTTCTTTACTTATCTATAGAAAAGATGCTTTGTGATTCGGTCACTGGATTGTTGACTTAGAAGATTTGGTTCCTGCTTCTGCACAGGCTGCTCTAACAGCTTCATCTCCTCAGCCTCAGTTCTGTGTCTGTGAACTTGAGATAATCAGACTTCCTTTTTCTTTTCATCAAGTTTTATCTAATTGCTGCTTAAATATCCTTGCTTTTTATATGCAGTGTCTAGCGTAAGAGGGTCGTGATTTTAGACTGCCTGAAAGCAGTAAATAATTTAATGCAAACCGTTCACCAAAGAGACCAAGCGTAAACTCATATTATGTTAAAATAATAGCTCATGTTTTCTGCTGTAAACATACACCCTTCAGTATGATTTCAAAGACAGCACCGTCTGCCTAGCCACAGAATTTACCTTGCACTGGAATAAATCTCATTTTTCTTTAAATCTGAACCCACCATTCCTGTACATATGATGAACATTGCGGACAGTTATTTCATTTAATCTGAAAATAGAGATTGTGGATGTTTTGGTTACTCGCACAGATGAGATATGGGCTATTTTAGTTAACACGTAAGGACTTCAATTACTATTAAAAAATATTCTTGCTTGAATAATGACCTTTCATTGTGAATGTTGAAGAGAGGATATTTATACGAGAGCATATTTTTAAAACTAATTAAAAGAAATTCAGAAAGCTCTTCAGAGCATTAATGCTATTGACTATGAATCTGTTTCCCAGTTTCAGACAACTTCCATATCTATTCAGTATCTAAGTGAAGCTGTAAGCAAATATCTTCTGTTTTGGCAACAGATGGCATTCTGTCAGTCAATAAAAGCCAAAAGGAAACAAAATAACTACATGTTTTCACCAGTCATTTTCCCATTATTAGGAAAATCCCAAGCGCTTATGGATGATTAAGAAGGTAGATTGAGTTGTTTAAAACTGTTGTAATGGTTTATTAATTATTTGGCAATTATATGTCGTTAGATCTAGTCATAAATTACAGAATTCTTGCAGCTCTGTGAGGAGGTAATGCTATAGTTCTGTTTACCAGTGGGGAAAATAAAGTATATACTGTTTAAAGATATTGTAATCTTAACGTAACAAATCACTAGCAGTCTGAATTGGAGATCAATAAAATTGTCCTTCATAATGTAGTGTTGAGTACATGGCTTTTTACATGGCTTTTTAGAGAATAAAATCAGTCTGATAACTGTCACAGTTCATAGTGAGCTGACATCAGTTAACGAAGAAAGAGTTTTCTTACCTGGAAAATTAGTAGAATTACCTGGATTATCATTTTCATTTAGGATTCTATGAAATGTTAAGCAGCTCTCATTTTCTCAAAGAAAAAATTACTCATAAATATAATTCCTTTTCATGGTAAGGTTATATCTTCCATTCACCTGTCTGTTCAGTCTGTCAAATGTCACCTCCCTATCTTTTAGAAAGAAATACTGGAAAATATTTTTGTTTCAAAATATATGAGCAGAATTCATTGCATATCCATGTGTTATTGTTTACATCTTCAGACACTTCCAGTTATTCACTGAGTTTGTCCACTTCATTGTAGTAATTGCCACAGATATTTACATGGGTTAGCTTAGTTCAGGGACTGTATAGCCTGTAATAATTGCTTTCCAGAACTAGAGTAACCTTTGTTGCACTTACCTGATTCTTTAGCATTTTACTCAGCATCCCTTAAATTTTAGGTGCCGGGATTAGTAGTGATATAGAAGCTATCATTAGTATGATTAGTAGCAATGGCCCCTGCAACACCATGGCCCAGTATATCCGTTGTCACACCTGCCTGCATGTAGACCAAGCTCTTCTGGTGTTTAATTCACTATTGATTTGCTTGACTCATCATCATAAACCTTGCCCTAGCAGCTTGTTCTCTTCTTTGCATCCTTCTTGTCCTGAGATGTATTGCAGTGCTTCAGATGGCTCCTCAGCTAATGCTTTAAAAACCGTGATCAGAATGCTCAGCTGAGAGAGATCTGGAATTGCTTTTGTTTTGTCTCTGCTGTCTTAATCCTTCCCTAGCTGGAGTATGGAAGAATATTTTGAATACATTACCTGGAAATACCTCTCAGCTGTTTCTTCCTGTGTCTCTCTAGCATTGTTACTGTTAATCCAGCTGTGCTCAGAGGCTAAAGCAGTGCTGGGACATGACTGCAGTGTGCACAAGGCAGGCATAAACCAGTGTTTCTGCAGCTTGCATTCAAGGTTGTAGGAGATACACCAAGACGGTAGAAAATAGAAAAGGTAAAGAATAAGATGATTGTTAGTAATTAAAATAATAATGAATAAGAGTTCATCATTAATAAGAACAGCCCAGGTACCATTTGTAAAAGACATTTTGGTGCCACTTGTCTCTCCAGCTTGTTCCTTTCTCAGATGGCTGCATGCCCTGGGGCCCATGGGCTCTGGCTGCCCTGGCTGGAGCTGTCCTGGCTTCAGCCTGCATGCTCGAAGGGCACAGCTTTGGTTTCTGCGCTCCCTGCAGGATCTGGGTGCCCTGATGCTACAGGGCATCCACTTCTTCACACCGTGGTTCTGAGGCACTGTAGAACTGGAATAAAGAGCTAGATGATCCTGAAGGTCTTTTCTAACCTCAGTGATACTGTCATTCTAAGCTGAAGCAAGTCTCCTTGACCTCCCTCCACAAGGGTTAGCTGTTGCCTGCCAGAAATTCAGAAAATGAAGGAAATGAGATGGAAATTTCATGGTTTTCATCAAGCTCAGACTTTTTGTAATAGGATCACAGAGGTATACCTGTGGGTAATCATTTACAATTTGTAGTGTCATTTACGAGATCTTTTTAATCATCCCTTAGTCTTTATTTCTTTGTGTTTAGGAAATACCATTATTCCTACAAAAGCTGAGAGAGTGAAGCTTGTCAAGATTTAAGGATGTTCCTAATGCAGCAAAATTCAGAAGAGTTAATTTGCGCCACGTATTTGTTACATCTTAGAAGCACTTCCAGATTGCTGACTAGAACGATGTTTTACAGTTTTTAATTCTTATGAATTTTCTTAAGAATTTTTAAAAGTGAGTTGAAAAGGTGGTGAGATTTTAGAATGATTATAGTAATAAATGACTCCCCCAATCCAGCAAAGTTATGTTAGAACAAGGAAAAAATATGTAATAAAGCCTGAAGAAGTGAAAATGTAGGTAATAGGGAGACACAGGTATTGTGTCACACTGTAACTCTTTTCCTTGCTTAAGGATGACATGACAAGCAATGGCTTTGAACTGAAAGAAATTATCATAGGTTACTGAGGAGAGAAATACATCCTTGTTTGAGGAGTTTGTCATAGGTTCTGCTGAAGGAGCTTCTATTTAATCCAGAAGGAAATCAGTTACCTAAGAAAGAGAGTGAGCTTTTGAAGCCCACCATGATGAGGTGCTTTCTGTAGGCCTCAGATAGATCTGTAGCCTTTTTCTGGTTCCTTTCTAATTCATGGATGTCAGTTTTGAATACTGGTCAACAAAACTGGTAATCACATTCCAGTATCAGTGTAACAAAGGGTACGTGAAAAGCAAATCTCCTTCTTAATCTTATTTGCTATATCCTTTTCTTTCAGTATCAGCACAAAGTCCAATAAAAGCTCGTATTGTTATTCACCATGACCACTAAATAGTTTTGTCCTTATTTTCCAGTATGTTTTTTCCTATGTTTGCCCTGTTTTTTTTATGTGTAACTTCACATTTGATGGCATATATTTCTTCGATTGAATGCACATTACTAAACAATCCATGCTACTTTCTATAGCTGCCTTTTGTCCCTTCATTACTCACATTTCCCTCAATCCTGATGCCACTGGCAAATGTTACTAACAGTAATCTGGTGTTTATTTCTAAAAGCCGTTGCGGTTTTCTGATTGGGTGATGGTGGCTGAACATCCCACAAGCAGGCACCCTCACTGAAGTCCCCAAAAGCTAATTTTCAGTTGTTTAACATTTGCTTTTAAAGTGCTTTTATTTGTGTTTTCTGAGAATTCGAACAATTTCCCGGTTATCTTTGTCAACTTCACTGGTAACCTCATCAAAAAGTGCAAGCAGAATCCTTTTGCTAAGATTTGCTTTTCAGTACAACCACATGAACAGACTGTTTATCAGTTTATTTTTATTACTTTTTCCATTATTATTTCCGTGATATTCTCATGTAGGTTTTCAGTGCGAACACAACAGCAGCACTCAGCTATCTTCTCCAGGTTGCCAAATATTCCAATGTTCAGTTAGAAATTAACATGCAGAGACCAGAAGATCCCTCTTCAGCTCTTTGGGAACTCATGGCCACATTGCCCAGCTTTTTTTTTTTTTTTTTTTTCAGATATTTTCAACCAGAACTTTACAGTTATTTTATCAAAAAACACCTTTATCCAAGTGAATTGCATTATCATAATTCCTTCTTAGAACAGGAGAAACACCGAACATTTTTGTGATTTTCACATTGCTGATAACTTTTAATACTGCTATTGTTAGAATTTCTCTTGTAAAAGGGAAAGAAACACAACTGAATACAGATAAATACAGATCTTTTTCGCATATCTTTGGCAGTCTTCCATACCTTCATTTCTCTCATTTTTATAGATTGCCATGTGCTCTTCCTCTCTTTTTGTTGTATTTTCCTTTTCTGACTGCTCCTTGCAGCCATTGTCTCTACTAACTCGGAGCAAACTCTGTATGCAAAAAATGTTTTTTAAATATGGTAACAAATTAACTTTTTGAAATATCCTCACTTTTCAGTCAAAGAATCCTGATTTGGAAAAGGAACTCTCTTGATCCATGAAGTATAAATCTGAGCATTTGTGATTTATTTACCTTTTTAGTCACTGTTAGTCTCAATCACAGTTGCTGTGTCCTAAGCAGCTTCCAGTTTCCAGTTCTGTTATTGATTCAACTTTACTTGTGCTGACTTGAAACGGGAGTTCTTTGATGTTGTGTTGCCCACTTACTTTAAGAAAAAGACAGTAATTATCAATTGTATCTTCCAAAATCTGAAATAATTTACTGCAAGCTGTATGGAGTCATACAGAATGTCTGTCTTAAAATATCAAAATATTTAAATTTTTTTCTTCCACATTGCAGTGAAATGCAAAAGGAATAATTGCACTTGTTCTCAAGGTTGACTTGCTGGTCTGTAACAAAAATAAAGCAAAGCATTGCTCCCTTGGGCTTGACTCTCTTTTACTGTTCAGCCCACGTGTGTTGTAGGACTTGCGCTAAGTACAAAACATACAAAAAACTTTCTTTCCATTACCTGAATAATGGATCTGCTTGATCTTTTCACTGTGTTATCAGCATTTGAATTAAGACAAGCATTATAAGCTGGTTGCGAAGATAGCTTTAGCTCTAGTTTGTGTATAGTTTCTATATAGTAAAACTACTTGATCTAGAGAAAAAAAAACAAATTCTCCTATTTTCAACAAATTTATTTGTCAGCTGTTTAAAAGCAAAGCAAAGTCCTTCTGCAGTGCTCATTTTATGAGTAAGTTCAGTTGTTTTCATGCTGGCCAGTACCTTACATCTTTTTGTAGTCAGCTCTGTGTTCTGACCAGCTGACTTCTGCACTTAAGATACAACAGAATATAGAAGTTTTCTATAATTCCAGCTGCAAATTTGCTACCATACTGAGAACGTAACTTATGTTAGTGTCACAAGTGTGCTGTTGCAGTAGTTAAGTGAGGCAAAGGTATTCATAAGTTCACAGATTTTATTATAAATACCTTTTAGTAATATTCACTTCACTGAAGATTATGTTACTTTTTAAGGGATTGCTACTAAGATTTCCACGCTCAAAATCTCTTTTCTCCTTGTTTTTGTGTGCCATTCTGAGCAAATGAATTGCTTTTATTTTAAACTATTGACATTGTTAGCACATTACTTCATTATCGTAGTGAACGTATCCCCGACCTGCTTGTGGTAATGGCATGAGAGTGTATCCTTAAAGGGATGTATGTTGTTGGCACCAAAGAATTACTTTGTTTATGAGTAGTGGGGAAATGTGTCTTTAAAAAAAAAAAAACCAAAATCAACAACAAACAACTTTGTTTGGATAATTCTTTCCATTGCCAGGCTTTACAGATGGCTGCTTTGTAGAGGTTTGATTGAACAAAAGTAGTGAGTAATGATATTAAGTATTCCATTTTGGTCTGAAGGTGCTGTTTCACTTGCATCAAATTCTTTTTATCTATGGAAAGCAGTTAATGAAGTGTGCTCTGTGATACAGAAAATGCAACGTGAACGTTTTTCTTTGTTTTTTCAGTGTTCCTGTTCCAGTAGTCAGTCTAGAGAAAATTCCTAATCTAGTGAAGGCAGATGGTGCCAACGTTAAAATGAATTCTGCAACCACTACCACCATCACTTCCTCCTCAGCCTCGTCATCCACCATACCTGCTCCAACCTTGGTTAAATCTGGTTTGACATCCAAGTCAGTGCCGCCGTCGCCAGAAAAGATTCTGAACGGCAAAGGAATTATAGCTCCATCAATAGACAAGAAACACCAAAATGGCACTAAAAGCAGTAACAAGCCTTACAAAAGACTTTCAGGTGAGTAATGTCATAGTTTACCTTTTGATATAGTCTACTTTTCTTTACAGATATTCCTATAGTTCAGAAATAATATACTGCTAAAATGCTGTGGCCTGTTTTTATTCTGATCTTTCTGCTGGAAGATGCCAGTTCACACGTAACAAAAGGAAAGCTTTCAAACTTGTAGCATGTGACAGCTGTTTTCAAAATATTCATTCCATTTGGTTGAATGTAGAGTGCTTCATGCATTTCTCAATTGGTCAGCTGGTAAGTAGAGTCACATGTAAAATTTTAAGGAAGTAAAATCATTAAAGCAGAAGGATAGAAGGCTTCTTCAGTCTGTTGTGTTATATCAGTTTATTTACAACAAAAAACAATATTTATAGGCTGAGTGGCTTCAGTACAATCATGACCGAGTTGTGCAGCTTCAGCTTTAGGACATGGAGTTACCTACCAAGTCATAATTTTCTTTAACAAATACTAGAAAATTCTAGGAAGATACTGGAGATTTTGGGGGAGTTAGGAAAGTCATAATTTGCCTCCTCCCCTTTTTCCTCTGCAATTTACATATGAGAGGAGCAAGAAGATGGCAGTGTGGGGGCCTCTGTTTTTTTTCAGGAGGGGCAGATGGTGGGGCTGAGGGGCTGGCATTAGAGTGGAAATGCCTTGGGTGGCCTTGGGCAGTGCAGCACTGAGGGCATTGGGCCCTGTGCAAATTGTCACCACATGCAGAACAGCCCCCTGTGGGAGGGCTGAGGGGCGATTAGAAAGGTTACCATGCTTTGGAGGAAGATGTTTTTGCGTGGAGCTCCCCAGTGGTGACCTGTGGCCATTCTTGGGCCTCAGAAACTGAAAACATGTTTTTGTTTTGAATGAAAAGAGGGAAAAAAAGTGTTTTGATGCTTCTATAATTTTGGGTTTTGTTGTTTTGTAGTAGTAGTTGTTTTTTAAGCAAAAGTAACTGACCCAAGTTTACTGCTTTAAGAGCTGCACAGGGTCTATTCATCTGCTGGCAGTACTTTGTGATTTGGGCAGGAGCTGCCTGTGTGTACTGAAAGGCTAATTTGGCTAATGGCAGCATGAGCCGCATTAGATCGTCCGATGGCAGAGTTAGTTCAAATGATTTCTAAATGTGCACTGGTTATGGAGCAAGTATAAGTGTGCAAGATAAATGCTTTAATTTCCAGTTAATAAGTGTGTGCTATTTTTGACTGAATATCACTTCTATTTTTTTTCTTTTTTTCATTTTCTCAAATTTGGCAGTGAGCTCTGTGGTACTGCTACCATGGCTTGGATCCAGAGCAGAGAGAGGTATTTGCTAGGGCTGCGTGTGGTATGGAAGGATGCCATTGCCTTCAGGGGTCCAACACTGATTGCTTTCTTAACTAGTTAAAGGTGGCATGTAAGAAAACAGAGCAGTTGTTCATGATAGCATTCCAAAAACTAAAAAATATTAAGAAAAAGGAACTGGTTAGGCTTTTATACCACGTTTCACTTGCAAAGATCCAATTTGTTATTCCAATAAAAACTCCATGTAATATATTTTGCAGTTAACTTAAAACACTGATTTCTTTTTACCCATTATTTCCTTTAATATTCCATAAGTTTAATTTAGCTAATCAATTAGGGGATCTCACTTGGGCAATTGAAAGCAATACTGATGTTCCTCGTGTCTCCATGTGCCGCTGCAGCACTGTAGGAGACACTGTACCTGTATTGTACAAGTGCTTGCTGCAGTATGCTCATAAAGGAGAACTATTTCTGTTCTGAAGGGCCCTCCTTCAGCTTGCTTGCCTTGTTCCTTGGAGGTGACTCTGTCTTTAGTCTGTATCTGGGCTTATCACTCTCTGATTTCTGTATGATAGGGAAAGTTTCAATGCTGGAAATTTCCTGTCAGACTGGGATGCTGCACAGGACCACTTGAGCACTCTGATGGGCCTCAGTTTCCTTTCATAAGATTAAAAAAAAACTTTTTTAATTGATATTGTTTATAAACTCCTCTCTCATTAGCAGATTTAGAATCCATTAAATCTTGCTTGTGCTGCCTCGTGCAGCAAGGCAATAAATTAGTGATGATGCAAATAACAGAAGTTCTGTGAGCACTGTAAATTAATTGCCTGCAGATTGTGTGTCATTATGATGGATTCTGCTCCATTATTACACTGAACTGTGCAGAGGCTGAGAAAAAGATCTTGGAAGGTCAAGGAGATGATTATTTTTGCTTTACTATAAATTTCATCCATTTTACATTAAAAGAATGAGGAGCTGGCTGCGGATTTAGGTTTCGCTCTGTCCTTCACTGTTCAAGTGTACAGCCGTTAATTTGTGAAGGTCTGACTGGCTTACATCTGTTTTCTTTCCTTTCAGTAGCCTCTATTTTCTCTCGTACCATTTCCCTGGCTGTGGCTGAAGGGGTTTTCTGGTTGTTGGTTTTTGTTGGTGATGGTTGGTTTGTTATTTGGGTGGTTTTTTTTAATCTTTGCTGAGACCTGGTGGTTGTTTAGTTGAGGAATGCCCCTGCTCCTTTTTGGAGGCATTGTCTTTGGTGAGAAAGAGGAAAGCAGCTCCCTGACCCCCAAAAAGAGTCTGTAGCTGCCGGGCATAAGTGGATCACTGTTCTCTAGTAGCAAACTGGAAAAAAAAAGTTTTTTTTTGTTTTTTAAATATCTTCAGTTCCTGTTCTCTTTGGGGTGAAGTTAAAAATACAGTTGCCCAGCTGCAACTAAAAATATCCTTCCACCACCTAGAGGAGGCCTACAAGAATGCTGGAGGGGGACCTTTCTACAAGGTCATGTAGTGATAGGACCAAGGGGGAATGGCTTTAAACTAAAAGAGGGGAGATTCAGGTTAGATGTTAGGAGGAAATTCTTCACTCAGAGGGCGGTGAGGCCCTGGCACAGCTGCCCATGGAGCTGTGGGTGCCCCATCCCTGCAGGCGCTCAGGGCCGGGTTGGATGGGGCCCTGGGCAGCCTGAGCTGGTGGGGGGCAGCCAGCCCACGGCAGGGGTTGGGGATGGGTGGGCTTTAAGGTCTCCTCCAACCCAAACCATTCAAACAGGAGTTTGACTCTTCTTCCCTCTGTGAGGTTGTAATAAAAAAACAGCAATAATTATCTCTTTTAGTTCATGAGCATATGTTTTTATCCACTAAAAGTAAGAAAAAATGTGGGTTTTTTTTTTAATGTTTGGTCATACACAGAACTTTTTATTATTTCTGTTGAGCTGTGTAAAAGCCACAGAAACTACAACTGTGTGTGACAGATATCAGACCCTTGGTAGATTTTACCAAGAAGTAGTGCTGACTATTCTTTCCAAGCTCACTTTTTGATATCTGTCTCTGCTAGTAGACCAGCAACATAGCCATGAATTGAACTTGGTCATGTTTAAGTCCATGTAGCAGATTACATACAACTGCTAATAATTTTCTTATCTGGAAGGCAAGAGTTACCATATGCAGGCTCCTTGGCCTGCAGTTTTTCCTGTTGGCTGGCTGTGATGTTGTCCTAACATTGTACTGTAGCTGTGTATTACTGTCTTCATCTTAGCTCTGATTTTTTTGTCGTTGTTTGTTTGTTTATAATGAGTATTTAGGTCCTTACATCAGTTGTTGTATTTAAGTACAGGATGCTTACTTTTATCCAAATGTAGCACAACTATATAGTGAAAGAAGACCTTGGCAAACAGCTATATTCCATGATCAAGCAGATGCAAACCAGCCTGCCAACTAAAACATACCATGTCTACATGTGTAAAGATGATGGTAGATTTTTTTGGCATAAGTAATAACTCTACATCCATGGTTTTGTTACATCTCTGTAGTGCAAAACCTAGAATTATATTAATACAACTTAAAGGAGGTGATGCTATCTGTGGTATACAAATACTGAAATATTAACGACAATGAAATATGCAAATATAGCGTATTAAATATTAAATACACTTCTAATGTTAATCATAAGTAGAACTCAAATGAGGCTTTATTTTCATGATCTCTGCAAACTTTAAATTCTGTGCCTCCATGACTTAAGGAAATAAGAGTTAACATACACTTTTCTTTATACTTCCTGAAGATGAGACAGATTTAGATAAATTCTGTTTTTAGCATGTCACTAGTAATCTTGTGTTTATGTTTTAAACAACACTGGTTGCTTTCAGAGTTTCAGAGTATGTCACAGTAAGGTTGTATAATGCACTGTGCTGTTTAGTCTGTATGTGTATTAAGTGTGCTTCATAGTCAAATTCAGAGGATGGGTTTGCAAATGTGTTTCATGGCCTCAGAAGCAGTCAGTGTTGGAGAGTGAAATGGGAGGTGTCCCTGCCTGTAGCAGAGGTTAGAACTTGATTATCTTAAAGGTCCCTTCCAACCCAAACCATTCTCTGATTATGTGAACCCCTTGGGATATGACTGGGTTATGTGTGTAGACCACTCTGTTGAGAACAACTCCATAAGCAGACTTACTCCTACAAAGTCTGTGACTAAATAGTTTGAAACACATACGGACAGAAAAAAAATGCACAAGTGGCTGAGTGTGGTGCACATGGCACCATTGTGGAGCACTGGGGTTGGGAACAGTGCCTCGGGCTGAGCCTGGCTGCATTAAGTATTGTTAGGCAAATATGGTGCTCTGGCTAAAATTCCTGAAATAATCTACTTTTTCTCCTTTTTCCTCCACCTTCATCAAACAGAAAGAGAATTTGACCCAAATAAACACTGTGGAGTACTGGATCCTGAAACAAAGAAACCTTGCACAAGATCGCTCACCTGCAAGGTATTTTTCTTAGAAGATAAAATATCAGATGCTTTGTTATAGTTTAAATCCTACCACAGTAGTTTGAGAGGTCATACCTGCTCCTGTCTTACAGACAATGGGTATGGTATTCAGACGCTGTCTTCAGGTAATTCTTTTGAGTAATTCTGTTTCTTTGAATCAGAGCATCTGCATTATTCTGCTGATATTTCTAGAGAGATGTTTTTTTCTTGTCATTTTGTTATGCAGAAAGCATTAATGTTTCACGTAGAAGCACAAAAGTTATTTTTAGTGCTCCCTTTTCAGCTCCTATGTGCAAAAATGCTGAAATATAATCACTTGAGTAAAAATTTAACATGATTTTCATGTAAGAAATTACTTGGAGGCTGCTCTTCTGATAATGAGGGGTCTCGTTAAAAAGTAGCACCAACGTAAGTTGTTTATAATGACCATTTGTATGTGTAGCTGGTACCTGTTGGTAGAGGTGATCGGTTACATTTGCTTAAAATGGATTCACATTTTTCAATCCAATGAAATCAGTTTTTCTTTGTAAGTTAAAAGCCGCAATGATGTTACTCCTTAATATTTTAAAGTTATTGGAATTACACTTTCTGTCTTGGAAAAGGTAAGTCAATAGATCCTGTTATGAAAATTGTTACAAAAGTAATTTCTTAAGAAATGATTTCATAAAGTATCAAAGATAATAAGGAGTAGCAGTTTTATTTCCATAACTGTGGCTGAAGTTGTTTGAAGTAGATTTTTATCTTTTAGAGTTGTGGTGTATCGGAAGTATAGAGGACTCATAAACAATGTCATGCACACACAAATGCTTTTTAACCACCCTATTTTTAGACTCATTCACTTAATCATCGACGAGCAGTTCCAGGCCGTAAAAAACAGTTTGACATCCTTCTAGCTGAACACAAAGCTCGATCCAGGGAAAAAGAAGTCGCAAAAGACAAAGAGCATCCACCATCGGCAAGGGAAAGCTATCAGAGCCAGCCCACACCAGCACAAGACTCTCTGTCAGGATCTTCAGTGAACTCTGGGCAAGAATCTAAAGTAACATCTCCTGCAAAATCTAGACCACCAAATTCTGTACTTCCAAGGTAAGCAGTTCTCCATTGTGAAGTGTTGCATTCTGGAATTGCTGTAAGAAAGGTGCTAGTTCTTTATACAGCTTATTTTATAAACATTTAGTGTTTGGGCTATTGCATGATAAAACATACCTTCATGTAAGGATTTCCCTTAGCAGTATAAAGTGGAGTACTTACATTAATGTAAACTCACCCGTGGTAGTCTGTGGTCTGGTTAGGACTGGGGTGAGGAGTGTTACCTGTCCTCTGCTCTGAAGCTCAGATTAACAACATTTTTTGGCTAAGATGGTTGGTAGTAACGAGGAAGGGTTATAACTGAGCCGTTCTGACACATTTGGAATTGAAAGTTGCCTTTATGAATTGAGATACTGCTGGCAAAATTCTGTACAGTTGTATAGGAATGTTTTGTGCAGATATGTTACCAACTACATCAGTGGAATGTCTTAAAGAAAGGTGCTTCCTTGTAAATGACAGTGTAAGCAGCTAGGTCTTAAACCCATCCGTCTGAGTCTGCCCATGGTGTGTCTTACACCACTGTGGCAATTTTTCTTAGAAAAGACAAAATCAGAAAGACAACATAACCTTCCAAAAATTTACCTTTAGAAGAACCACTGTGAAGTACTATAGCTACTGAATTCTTCTCTACCCACTGGGAAACTTCCCATTTGTTTTGTATGGCTTTTTGCTTTTGGAGTGGGTTTTTAGGAACTCCTGTTTTTTCTGGAGTGGATAGAGTTAAGTTGGTTGGTTTTGTTCATGTTAGCATTGTTTCATACATCATGTCTTTGCAGAAGTCTTGGTCAGAATTAGGTACTCATTTTTGGTCATCTGTATAAAGTCCCTCTTTCAGAGTCTTATCTCCAGTTCTACAGACAGCTATTTCCATTTTTTTCTGTGTGTTCATCAAGTCACAGTGAAACTATTCACTCAGTGGCAGAGGGGGATCTCGCATGGCTTTGGATGAATGAAAGAATAGGAAAGTTGATGAGAATTCTGTGTAATCTCTATTAGAAGGGTGACCTTACACACAGTGCTTACGTGCAGAGGAGCACAGAGGGACAGGCAGGCTTTAGTTTTAGTAGGTGTTACAGTCAAAAAAACAAAACTGAAATGTGGTTCAGTGGCAGCAGAAGAAATTGCAAAGAAAAGATAATGGTATGTAAGGAGAAGGATTTTAGCAGTCGTATGTTGTGTTGGTAGGATTTATACTTCTGTTTCTGCTGCAGTGCCTCTGTTCTGTCATCTTTCCTGTTTTTGCAAGCAACCGTGCCAGAGGAAAGCCTTGCTCCCTGCTGTGAGTCAGCATACAGCCTACAGCTCTTCTGGCAGAGGTTACGTGGCTGCTGCCTGCTCCCCCAAGCAAAGTTTGCTGTTTGCCCTGAAAGTGACATGGCCTGACCGGGTCACCTCTTCCTCAAGGCTGAGAAGCACTCACAATCTACCTCATGCACCAGCCAGCAGCTGCAGCAGTGATTTTCAGCTGGTGGACATTGTTGAACAATCCCAGCTCAGTTCAGGAGAGGGCACTGTCCACAGTTTTAGTGGCTGATAGCCCAAATTCACCGGATGAGGAAGGCTAGTTTTGGAGAGCTTGTTTTTCATTTTCTGATTTTGCTCAGCACAGGTATCTCATCAAGCCACAGAGGTCTGCACGCTCCCTCCCCCCAGTACTCCTTGTAATTTGGTTTGCTTCCACTAATTTGACAGACATCGTTGTGCCCTGTGATGTAAAGGCGTGCCCACTTTGTTTTATTGGATTTTATGCAAAGGTTAAAAAAAAAAACAAAAAAACCTACGTGCTGCAGGGTCCTCCCAGTGACTGCACATGCTGAACTGACTGTGGAGGGAGACTAAAGACTCTTGTTGTATTTAGTATGCACATTTCAGTAAGAAATAAATGTGATAACTGGACACTTGGGATTAACAAAGCAGTGGAGTAATGGTGCTTTGTGGGAAGATTTTACGCATCTAGTTTTGTTTGCATATGTAATATATTTTGCATCTGTCAAGATCTTAAACTGAACTATTTGGTAGATTTAACATTTCAGGCAATACAAAGATACTTCTGTTAATGTCAACTTGGTGATAACTGTTATATTCTTGCAAGACCAGCTGCTCTTTATCCTTTACTGTCCTTCTTTCCATGCTTGTTTCTGGCATAATTTACTTCAAGGCTTGGCTCAGGCAGGTGTCTTTGCACGGCTATTGAATGCTGGTGATTTAAATGTATCTTCTCTTTCTAGACCGTCATCTGCCAATAGCATAAACAGCAACAGTTCTTCAAACCACAGTGGGTATGTACCAGAACTGCCACTGCCTTCCATGGGAGGAGATTTAACTAGTAGATTGTCCAGTGATGAAGGAGAAGTGGATGGAGCTGAAGAATCTGAGAAATTAGACTGTCATTTTTCTGGACACCATCCCAGACCTCTTGGGGTATGTCTCTCTCGCTGGCATGCCTTGCTGTTACTCTTAAGTAATTAAAGAGGGGAGGAAAGAGATGTGCTTTGGTAAAAATGTAAGGAATGGGAGACTATTTTGAGTCTATATTACATTTGGCAGAAAACTATGGTTTGAATGGGAGCAGGTAGGAGGAGAAGACTGGTTGTTGCATATGATAGTATTTGACTATCATATGCAACAACCAGTCTTCTCCTACCTGGGTTGTGGGATGGGATAAGAGGTAGAAAGTAAAGTTCTCCTTTTAGTTTTCTTCTCAGTAGTCTGAATCAAGTGTAGTTCTGCTAAACTGTGAAGTTGCAGTGTTTTAAATGTGACATGAACAGACAATTTGTTGTCATACGTAGTTCTTATGAAACTACCTTGCAATTGGTTATAGCTCTGAAAATCATATGGCAGTGAAGAGCTATTATGGTACTCGTTGATCTTTGTAGTATGCTATGAAGCAGTAATTAAATATCATTTATGTGAGTGTATGTGGACATAGGAGCTATTGCTTCATTCATCTAAAAATGGAAAGTAGAGCACAGCATTGCCCATCTGCTCTGGCAGTGGCTTAAGAATGTGTTTCTCTGGCAGCTGCTTTTGTCTCTCTCCCATGCTAGTAGCAAACTATATTGTACGTCAGAGAACCTTGTGTCACTGAATCTGCAGTGTGAATTTGTTTAAGTTTTACAAACAATGGGAAGAAACAATGGGAGAACTCGCCAACACCTGAGCAGCTGTTTCTCACAAAGATCAAGCCAAGGAGTAAAATCAGTGAAGACTTCATTTATGTGTTTTCCTTATGCAGAATAAAGCTAGCACAGTGAAATGTAACACTGTCTGTATTCCTTAGAGAAAAGGAGGAATTTTGTCAGCCCCCAGTGTTATTAGCCAGAATTGCTTCCTTTACAGTAGCTTGGCATTTGTATTCTTTCCCTGTGACACATGGATAGGTACCCAACAGTAAACTGAATTGTTAGCAGAGTACAAAGTATACTTGTATATTTGAGGCAGAAATGTTACGTGTGTATTTCATACATCATGAAAAAAGTATTTATGCTGCAATAGAGAGAAATACCTTTTAAAGCTATTTTGCGGTACAGATTACAAAGATGTTCAGGATCAATAAATGGTTGTTCTTTTATAGCATCGAAAGTTTTTTAATAACACTGAACTGTCTTTTCTTACAGTTCTGTTCGTATGGTAGTCGCTTAATGGGAAGAGGGTACTATGTCTTTGACAGAAGATGGGACCATTTTCGATTCGCACTAAACTCCATGGTAGAAAAACACTTGAATTCACAGATGTGGAAGTAAGTGGGAGTTTTACACGTGGGCATAGCTCAACATCTTTAATTCTGTATAAACACTAAATGAAATGCTCCATGGGATTTGTTTTTGAAATTACCTCTGTGTTAAGTCATGCCTGTAATAGAAAAACAAGATTTCTTTTCCACTGAGGAATATGCAGCACAAGAGTGCTATCACCTATTCTGATATGTGGTTCTGCCAGATTTAGAACTTTTCTGTAGTCCCTCCAATCTTGGGGGGGGGAATAATTCAGTAGCTCTGCTAACATTTAAGTGCATGAAAGCTTGGTGTTTTCTGGGATTGGAGATATGTCTTGATATCATGCAGTTTTATAACACTGGTTGAATTTGGCCTGAACTTTTATATCTGTGTCATACAGCCTTATCACCATTCAGACTTTTCTCAGTGAAACTTGTGTTGTGTGGTAAGAAATTCAGTATATATATAGGTCGCTCTGAAAGTAATGCCTCCTATTTATTTCCATGGAAACTACAACGTACCAAAAGCACAAGAACACCATTTGGTAGAGCAAATTCTGAGCTACAAAACACTGTTTTCAGCATAGTCACCACCATTTGCCAAGTTGCGTGGATGAGCTGATAGAGACACTCTTCATTTCGTGGCATGACAGCTGTGCACCACTATCTGAAATGGGGCTTGTCTTTCACATCGCTGTTGTCACTGCTGAAACTCACCACTCAATGCCTCACTGTGCTCACATCCACTGGTTGGTCTCCATCAACATTCAACAAGTGTCAGTGAATGTCAGTGGGTGCCGTTTTTTCCACATGACACACCTTTGCTTCATCCACGCTTCCGTGTCAGACCCCATTCTGCCAGACTGCCCTTCTGCTGTCATCTGTCACGCAGCAACAAAATGTAATGGGATGTTGGTGGGAAGGTTCAACCTCTACTGCCGTACCACCAACACCTGCCTCTGATGTCATGGGCCAGCATAATAAAATAGAAGGCGTTACTTTCAGAGCAGTCCTCATATTTGCTAATGTGTAAAGGAATGTGGAAATTTTTAGTCCACAGTGCCTTCTAGACTCACCAGCATTAGAGGTCTTAATTTTCTGGTTTTGACTCAGTATTGAAGCACCTGTGTGTGACGTATGCAGGTTGCAACCACTGTATGCTTAGGTTACATAGAAACATGAAAATAGACTGCACTACAAAAAAAAAGATTTTTTTTTTTAATGTATATTTTGAAAAGGCTCGTGGGATCTGCAGACATGATTGTTTTTATTTCTTTTTTTAATTCTGCAATGGAATATGCATTCTTCTTTCACTGCAGTTACTCTAAAGTGCAGTGTTTCATGTCATTGTTTATTATCAGGACTGTATTATATTCATTGGATGCCAGCCATTAGATGAACAAGGTTTGATTTTTATTTATATAAATTATTGAAGTACTAAACCATGGCTTGTCTGACTGACCTGGTAACTGGGTGATAACAGTGCTGCTGTGCTTGCAAACATCATTTGGAAATGGGTTTGCCATAGAAGGGCCACTTGCATCTCTGTTTAGAGACAGATCACACTTGGTCCAGAACGGGTTCCTTTCTTCTACTTAGCAATTTTGGCTGTTAACCACTGTCTGCCACCTTCTACAAATAAAACTAATTTTGTTTCTATAAATAGGAGAAGTAGAACTTGTTATCTGTTGGCTTTGTATGTCAGGTTCCTTTCATGAAAAGCTAAAATAACTTCTGTGGTAGTTGTGTGATACAAGAAATAAACAGGTCTTGTCCTGCTCCCACTAAATCCAATTGTAAATGTTTTCCCAAATTCTAGCATTTAATGCAGCCTCTAATATTTTAATGGATTCCATCCATACTTAGTTGTCTGTGTAACACAGGAAACTGAGAGCACTTAATCCTTTTTGTATCCCACTGTTGTCCTCCGTCCTTTGGACTGAACCTTTCCTGTCTTCCCCAAGCAGAGCCATGCATAAAGCTGTTATGTTGTAGTGGAGCTAGTCCAGCCTAGCTGTGGCTCATCCAGCTGAGCCAAATGGTAAAAGGGACGCAAGGCCATATTTTGAGAACAATAACAACATCTACAAAGTGCTTTTTACCCCTAGTTCTCAATGTATTTTACAAAGGTGGGTAAGAGTTATTGGCTTTTCTTTAATAGTAGACTGAGGAACGGGCCTGATAATTGCTTTGTTCATAGTCCCATAGGAAGTCACAGGCAGTAAGACTTTGCTTATTTCTGAGAGCACAGTCTTTGTGCAAACTCTTACTCATTTCTGTCATGAACAGTGCCCTGTCTGAGAGTCTCTACGGGAAGAATACTAGGAGAGAAGCCTGTTAATTAGGATTTGATTTATGGTAAAACAGCAGAGGATTAATTTTGTCATAAACCATACCCTGTGCTGTTTTATTATACTTCACTGAAGGCAGGCGTGAGTCTCTTCAAACTGAAGAGATGTCAGTACTGGGGATTAACAAGGGCAGAATTATGGTGCTCTGTGGGTCCTTAACAAAGAGGAATAGGATTAATAGTCTAAATAATGAGAAAAACACATAATTTTCCAAGAGACATTATGGAAGACTGGTTTTTTGTTAACATTGGACTGGATAAAGTAGTAGGTGATGTGCTGTTGGTGGTGGAATAGAAAGGAACTTAAGTACATTCTACTGATTTCACAGGTAATATCATTAAATTTTATTCTCTGAATAGTATTCATAGTCATAGAGTTTATCAAGTGTTGTTTCAGATTCTGTCAGTCTTTCAGTATCGGTGAAATGAATGACTTAACTAGTTAATCCTGTCCACATGAGCTCTTGGGAATGGTAGTGCATTGAGGCAAGGATGAGCCATTGACCCTTTACCTCCTTTTCTTCTTTAAGCTGAGTGATAAGTAATTCACAGACCCCAAAATTGACTCATTTACTGCCCTCACAGGTCTGACCTGTGCTCAAGCTAATTCTGAAACTGTTCTACAGCTTGACCTTTCAGGCAAAACTCATGCAGTGAATGAAGCATATTGTTTAGTATGTTTGTAGACTCCACTATCAGGCCTTTCAGACCCTTCCCTTCCCTTTCCCCTTCCCCTTCCCTTTCCCCTTCCCCTTCCCTTTCCCCTTCCCCTTCCCTTTCCCCTTCCCCTTCCCTTTCCCCTTCCTCTTCCCCTTTCCTCTTCCCCTTCCCCTTTCCCTTCCCTTTCTCCTTCCCCTTCCCCTTCCCCTTCCCTTTCCCTTTCCCTTTTTTTTTTTTTTTCTAAAGTAGATAAAAAATGAGATAAAATTTGTAAGAAGGTGGTTAATTGTAACACCATATATGTAATTGCTGCATGGGACATGCTCAGAAGCTCAGCTCAGCTCTGGTTTAATAGTGGAACTGCACAGTTCAGGGGTGATGTTCCATGCACAAAACATTGCGCTGTGTAGATCTTATCTTCACCTGAACTTCTGCTACATCTCCAGTGCCTTCATGGAATGAGCATCCCTCATCTGAACATGCATTTTTAGGAAAACAGAATTTGCTGTTTTCCTGAATCCTTAGAACATCAAAGCACACGAGCTTTGTGACAGGCTTTTGAAGTTTATAAAGAAAAAAATCAGGAGTGAAAGTATTTTTAAGCTGTTGTAGAATGTGCAACTTATTTCAAACTGTGAATATTAAAATGTCTGGTTGGCAGAATAGGAAACAAAACTAAAATGAACCAAATTTGCCTTTTTTTCTCTTTTTTTAAGAAGTTGGTCTTTTCCAGGAATCATCTCTTATCCGTATTGTTCAGATGGAAGTTTTTAATGCATCTAAATCTCTTTTATTCTTTCCCGTTTAGGAAAATCCCTCCTGCAGCAGACAGCCCCATGCCTTCTCCAGCAGCACATGTCTCCACTCCCTTTCCAGCGTCCGTCTTACAACCTTTCAGCAACCCCAGTGCAGTATATATTCCTTCAACACCTATCAGCTCAAGAATCACTTCTTCTTACATAATGACATCAGCCATGTTATCAAATGCAGCCTTTGTGACGACATCGGATACAAATTCCATTATGTCACACACTACAGCTTTTCCTCATGTGGCTGCAAGCCTAAGTATCATGGACTCGACCTTCAAGGCGCCATCAGCTGTGTCACCAGTGCCAGCAGTCATCCCTTCCCCATCCCACAAGCCATCCAAAACAAAAACCAGCAAATCCTCAAAAGTAAAAGACTTGTCATCTCGTAGTGACGAGTCTTCAAGTAACAAAAAGAAAAAGCCGCAGTCATCGTCATCCTCGTTATCTTTGCAGACATCTTCCTCGTCTTCATTTTCAGGGTCCCACAAAAAGAACTGTGTCCTGAACACCAGTTCGACTTTGAACTCCTATCAGGCCACATCTTCCTATAACAGTATGTCTGTGCACAATACAAACAATGGAACAAGCCCACTCAGTGCCAAATTGGAGCCCTCAGGACGGACTTCATTATCAAGTAGTTCAACAGACTCAGTGAAACACATGAGCATGGTAGTAAGCAGTATTGACTCTTCTAATCTGTCTGTACCTTCTCTTGTGCACCATTCAGGGGACCACTCCCTGGGAGCACATAATGCAGTGTCTTCTCTACCCCTTTCTTTCGACAAATCAGAAGGAAAAAAACGTAAAAACTCTAGTTCTAGTAGCAAAGCCTGTAAAATCACTAAAATGCCTGGTATGAATAGTGTTCATAGAAAGAGCACTGCCAACCTTATTTCTGCGGTGCCAGATCCAACAAGCAGCTCCATCTCTCGGCAGGTAAGGGACCCTTCCGGTTATTTTTTTGCAGGTCATGTTTGACTTACTCCAAGTAGTTCATGCATTATGAACAAGAAAATGCAGTGTTTGCTTCAGGTTGTTTTTCATCAAACAGCTGATTTTCTGGGTTCATACAGAAATGTATTTATTTTGTACAAATCATACAGACATGCCAGTGAGGGTAGGGGGGGAAGGAAAGGCGTTTTTTACTGTCTTGAAATATTTTAATGAGAATTTTTATTCAGTTAATAAAATAGTCATTTGTAAATTTGAAAGTGAAACTAAATGTCAAGAACGGATAAGTAATTTTTAGAAATCAATTTCCAATCTTAATCCTCATCTCTCTGAAATAAATTGTGTGTCATTAAAGCTGGGAGATAAGAGTCAACATTTCTGTTTTTCCTATATTTGTTGCTGATTCGTTGTTTAGTGTTAATGTTAAACCTCATTTCATTTATGCAGACTGCTTACGTTTTGCCTTTTCCTGTGGGGGAGGCCTGAGACACGTGACTTCAGATGCTGTTTCCTGTTTGAAACTGGGAGAATTAAGAAATTAAGATCTTAACGAGATCACTTTAATTGACGCTTGTTTATCTTTTAGTGTGAACACCTTCAGAATATCGAAGTGGCTGCAGCAGATAAGGTTTCTTCCTCATCACTAGCAATAGAACTTTGGCTTTTCTTTCAGTGATTCTGTATATGGACAACACTACATGTAAATTAAATTTTGCTGAAAAAGCAAGTTTCACTAGCACTAGCACTAAAGTGCTATCTTTAGTATGATCTTCTGGTTAATTCTGCCACTGTGTCCAATGCAGTGCTGTGCGCAGAAAACAAAGCTTTCCCTGGCCTCTGGGAGCCAGAAGCACAGAGAACAATGTCAGAAAATTCAGAGAAAGTAGCTTAGGATAGGTTGGTTTGTTCCTGAGCTATTGTGAAACTCTCCTTTCACAAGGATGTTGTGCATGAAGTGGAATTGAGAAATGGAGAGGGTAGTGTGTAGAGCAAGGCAGTTCATGGGTGCCAGCAGGCAGCAGTAGGAGTGGAAGGAGGGAATGAAGAACTGCTAAATGCGGTGTAACAGGCAGAACGAAGGCCTCAGAATGGCTTAAGATGTCTGTTTTCTTCCTGCTTCCAGTAGAGCTGCAGCTGAGATTATTGAAGTGGCATTTAAAAATGGGCTACAGTATTGTCTTTCTGTTTTAATCCTTTTATAATAGCCCTTTATCATTTTAAATGTCTTGCAATCAGAATTAATCTTTAAGTCACTGAAATCAATGGAGAATGCTGTAAATTCATCGTTCAGTCACACATCTGATGTTTGAAATACATGTGTGTCTAAAAAGGTGAATTTACCCTGAGATACGATATCTCAAATGGGAAGAAAAAGTGAGTACAGGCTGTTACTTCGGTGCAAATACTGGCAGGAGAAAATGGATCGCATTGTCTTTTCACATTACGTAAATACATCTGTAGCTGTTGTAGTCCAAGAAGTCGTACAAATACATGCGATGCATGTAGGCTTGTGCGATATATGCGTGTGTAAGGAGGACTCATGTGCACATTCTGAGTCCCGTAGTGATTGGATGTGTGCCTCTGGGACATTCCTGTGCCAGTGTGGGTTATATTTCAGCAACTCACACAGTAATGGCAGTAAATAAAACATCAAGGATCAGTCAGAGGCCTTTGTTAATATGTGGTTAATTCACACTATAGTTTTCCCTTAAGGAAAATGTTAGATATGTGTAAAGATGAACAATAGACATATATGTATGTGTGCATATCTGTATTTATATGTAGAAGTCATTCGTTGCTGCTCACATAGCTGTCCTTGGAGCTGCACTGGCTGTGCAGTATAGCAGTGAAGTGAAGCTGACTATTTCAGGTGTCTGGCTCGCAGCTTTGTGACAGCTTTGCTGAATTCCTGCTGTTTGTTTGTGCCATAAACAAATGAAATTTGTACCCACTCAAGTATGTGGGTCTTAGAATATTATGTCCTGTATGTGGGAATACTAAAACTCTAGAGGATGTAGCACTTGCAATCAGCTTTAAGCTGTGCTGTTTTGACTTGCCATGCACTAGAAGTGCAATTGCAGTAAAAATTCCACAAAAAATACGACGTTACTTAAAATCTTGTTCCTGCTCCCTGATGTAATAAGGAAAATTAAATTAAGGAAATAAGAACACAGGAAAAAGCTCAAGTGACTGCTGATAAGCCCTGGATTTTTTGTTTTTTCTAATTTCACTCAGGTCTCCTTGGTAGTTAGTAACTGGAAGTGCTAAGTGCTTAGTTTTGTTGTAGAGTTTATTTTTAAAAGGAAGAAAGGATGAGAGTTGTGGCCTCAGCCTCCGGCTTTCTAAATGCTGTGCGCAGCACTGAGCCCAGCACAGCTGGCGCTGCCTTTGCTCTCCTCACGGAGGGCTGCTCGGCCCTCACACGGCCCTTCTGCTGAGGAGTGCAGCCCAGCAGCAGCCTGCAGCACTCAGCCCTTCCTGGGGCAGCACAGCAGGCAGCTCTGGGGAGGTGGGCTGTGTTCTCCACGTGATTCCAAGATCTCTGCAAACTGCAAACCTGTTTCTCAGTGAGTGTTTTTCTCATTTAAAAGATGGAGCACCTCTCCTATAAGGAAAGGTTGGGGGAACTGGGCCTGTTTACTCTGGAAAACAGAAGGCTCCTGGGAGACCTCATTGTGGCCTTCCAATACTTGAAGGGAGCATATAAACAGGAGGGGGAATGGCTGTTTACGAGGGTGGATGGTGACAAGGGGGTATGGTTTTAAACTGAGACACGGGAGGTTTAGGTTGGATATTAGGAGGAAGTTTTTCACTCAGAGGGTGGTGACACACTGGAACAGGTTGCCCAAGGAGGCTGTGGATGCCCCATCCCTGCAGGCATTCAAGGCCAGGCTGGATGTGGCTCTGGGCAGCCTGGTCTGGTGGCTGGCGACCCTGCACATAGCAGGGGGGTTGAAACTAGATGATCATTGTGGTCCTTTTCAACCCGGGCCATTCTCTGGTTCCATTCTATGTATTTGCACTGTATTGTGCAAGGATTTTATGAATATTGTCACGGTGGATGTAGGGAGGAAAGGTCTGCAAGTTTGCCACAGTGTTCAGAATAGCTAGGAAAAATTTTACAAAGCTGTGTATCTGTTCAAGATTTCTGTATTGAAGAAAAGCCGAATGTCATGCACTACTATCTAGAGAAGAAGAGCTGTGACATTCAGAACAGGCTGAGGGGGAGCTGGGTGGGCAGGGGCTGCCCCTTCAGTCTTTGTGCCATTGTTTGGAACTGCTGTAGGAGTCAGCTGTACAGAAAAGCACTGCCCATTTCTTCTGGGTAGGGAGTAAACAGAGAAAACTCCGCTGAGCAGTGGTTGTGAGGTAGGGCAGGTGTGTAGAGGGAGCCACAGGGTGCCCTTCAGTATATGTATGAAATGGGAAATAACAAATGATGCTGCAGAAGGGAAGGAGAAAACTGACGTTGATGAAATCTCTGTTGGCCACTGCCTGAGTCCTGTCTATTCAGTGAGAATCTTGCAGCTGCATTTCTCACTGCGTTCAGATGATGGATCCTAGTTACCTCTCTGTCAGATTATTAAAGTTGCCATTACTTCAGGTCCATCATCGATGTGGATAACTGCTCGTATCTGGTCACTTGCCCATTGTGAGCAGGTGTCCCTGGTCACTTTTGGTCAGTCTCATATCCCTTTTGATTCAGTAGCTCTCTTCCCTCTTGTGCAGCAACAGAAATATCCACCGTGTGTTCATGGGTCGCTGCAAAAAGGTCTAAACCAGACTGCTCCTGCAGAGTGCTGTAATCTTTCAAGGATTTAAGCACACAGATGGAATTTTGCAGTATTTTATTTAAGCACTTTTAAAATGTATATATACATACTAATAATGTGTATATGCACTTATTCCCAAAGTTCTGTGATCCAGTAATGTGGGGCAATTGCATGTTCGAACCTCTGGAGTTCGATTCTTCTGGTTAATATTTGCTTCTTTGAGCAATGCTAAACAAAGGCCACGTGGAAGAAGATGCAGTAAGGCAGGGCATGCCATGGTGCTCAGCCAGCTGCTCTAAAGCCATGCACCCCAAGGAGTGGGCAGGGGCTGTGGGAGGAGGGCTCTGAGCACTGTGCTGTCATTTGCTGGCCTGCTGACAAAGCGAGCGTGGTGAGCGCACAAACCAGTGCTCCTGGCCACAGAGGTGGGATTTTACAACCTGAATTCCTCCAGAAACCATTTCTTAATGTTGTTTTCTAATCTCTGGTAGTATTGACATGCCTTCTAAGAGTTTATGTAAAATACTGGCTCTAAGAGATAATTATGACTCTGAAGAAGTGGGGTTTTTTTGTAATAGCAAAATACCTGTGTTCCAAATGCAAATCAATTAGTGCCACTTTGCTCAGGAAAAGGAAAGCCATTTCCAGCATCTGCATTCAACTGACAAATATGTCTCTCAATGCTGCTCAATTAATGTCTTTCAGATTGGAAAAAATAGCAGTGTAGCTTTGTCACAATCCAGTCCTTCGAGTACATCAAACCCAGTACACAACAGACAAGTAAGTTGTTTTTTTAAAAGTGCACTTAAATAGTTTGTAAGTGGTGATTAAATATTTTCTGTTGCAAGGCTTAAAATACATTTTCTTTATAAATGCAATTATTTACAGAAGTTTTCTTTCAGTGAACTAATATTAGGTTTTTTTCCTCTCGCTTAGTGTTTTTCCAGCTATTTTTCCCTCTGAGATTTATGAATAACAAGTTCTCTGCTTGTTTTCCACCACCTATAATATGCTTCGTGTTGGCTTATCCAGTGCCCACTGGCTGTTGCTTTGGTGATAAAAAAGCAGCAGCAGCAGCAACGTGTCTCCACAGGATCCAGCTAAGCTAGCGTGTCTTTTCCGTCCCGCTTCCCCTGCTAGGCTGGATGGCACAGCAGAGTCCCAGACTGGCACAGAAAGGACAATGTTTAAAAAGAGACAGAAATGAAAATCAGTAAAAGGAGGGCAGAAACGGACAGGGAAGGCAGAGGACTTGATAGTTCAGAGAAATTAATCTGAAAGTGTAGCCTGCATTCTTCTCAAATTTGAGAAATCCTTAGTGCTCCCACCAGGCCTGTTTGTCACACCGACTGCTGGTCAGGTAATTGTAGTAAATTCTGAAGGTCAGCTCTTTTGCTTTTGACTCTCCAAATTGAGTCATCTATCAAGAATTCATTATCGGGATCCTTGTTTTGAAAAAGGTTTCCACCTCAGCAAGATGTAACCACAAGTAAACAGAAATGCCAGCTCATTTCTCTGTTTGACCAGTCAGCATTTTAGAATCCCATGTGCATTCTGAGTACACCACATCGTAGTTGTTCCAGATGGTTATGCTGCTTAGTTTCTGCTCTGCAGGTGCAGCACAAGAAAAGTAATTATTGTGGTGCTGATAATCCACAGCAGTCTCACCATTAAAACATATTCTGAGTCATGATGAACTGTCAAAAGGTAAAGCAGTTCCACCCCCTGCACCCTTGGTACTGAATGCAAAGGAGCGTACGTGTGACAGCACTGCACTGAAGGGAAGTGAGTGGAGGGTGTCTTCATACCACAGTGCTCATAAGGACTGGTAAGCTGCTGTGTGAAGCTGTCATCCAGCTACCAGTGACAAACATGGGATAAAGCTCATCTAAGTGTAGAACTGGTTTTGTTTTAGCCCTGTGCTCCTGTATGAGTACAAAATGCACACTGCCCAGACGCACAGCGTGCTGGGATCTGTTGCCTGGATCCCGCAGGCAAAACCTTACTGGACAAAACATTAATTTTGTGGCAGCTATATACAAACAGAGGCTACTGGTAAGCTTTTCAACTGCCTGTTTCCATGACTTTATCAAAAATAGAAGTGTTTGCTTGTTCTAAGCCCCGCAGACTGATGTTAAAAATACATTTCTGGCAGCTTAGTATCTGAGCATGGAGTTCAGAATACAGATACAAAGGAAAATGTAGATCTTTAAGCTTTATTAAACATATTGTTCCTGTTTGGGTTTTTTTTTCTGTGTTAACTCTGACACAGGATGTTAGTGCTTGGAGCCATGATTGCTTCCCACTGCCACATCGGAGCTGCTTTGCTGACAGCTTTGATTCTCCAATCTGGTGAAGGAATAGCCTCTAAATAAAATTCTAGTCTGAAGCTGAGCTGTACTATTTCTTTATAAAAAGTGTTATTAATTAGGTAACATAAGTGGATCTGCAAATATATTCTTTGGCAGTCAGTGTACCTTTGGGGCCTGAGAGAGAGCCTGAGCTCTCTTGCTTTTAATATTAGTGCTGATGTAACCACGATAATCAGAGTCCAAGTGATGCAATGTCAGTAGGCAGAGAGAACATCCATTACTACACGGAGTTTTACAGCTGGAAAAAAACAGGCATGTATTCCTGAGTGCAGACCTGGGAAGCAGACAGACGTGGCGTGGTGTTCTCAGTATTGCTGTGTGGGACTGGTGGGCACTCATGACTGCTGGGCCTGCTTGCTGTCTCCACTGCATTAAACCCGAGTTCAGCTCACACGGGTTGATCTCAATTTATGTTTACTTTGAACTTTCCTGCATCTGTTTGAGAGCTGAACAGGAGCTTGTGTACATAAAGGTGCGCCAGGTTTTCCAGCTGTTGCTGCTGTAATAAAAAGCACTACTTTTCCTTACAAAATCTTCATCGTTTTTAGTAAAGTGAATGGAGTTATAGTTTTACAGTCAAATTCTTTGTGCCTGTAGATACAGACTCTATATATGTTTAAGGCTTGTTTTGTCTGGATTTTGTCCTCCTTCTAAGTCTGTAACTAATCAGTGTTTTTTTCTTCATAGTTCTTTTAAGTAGATCATAGATCTCAGTATGCAGTGGTTTATAAATACTGAGTAACTAGCTGTTGTTATGAAGGGAAGGTGCCAGTGTGTGTGCTGCATGGGGTTTCCTCAGGCATGAAAGTGTGCTGTGCAGAAAAAATGATTCTTCAAAGTTACTGTCTGGTTACTGCTCTTATTTCTACTGATATGTTGAGTTAATGAACGTAAGATTAACTAAAGCTTTCTAAAATCAGACAGTCTCAAAAGGAAATACCCAGTTTACTCAAAGCAGTTCTTAAAAGTCTATAATGTAATCAATAAATAGGGGTGGATGTGAAATCAGTTCCTGGTTTGAGTTCTCTCAGATGCACATGTTGTTAAAGCATTGTGTACCAAAAGATGTTTTCTGAATCTGAACTTGGTTTCTCTTCTAGAAGACATCAAACCGGACTGGTAGAATAAGGACTCTTCCATAACACGGAACAGGAACCAGCCTATAATCTCTAGCTCTCAGCAGCCCTACTCCACAGGGTTTTTCTTTTCTATGACCTGCAGATGGATTTAACCTTTTATGAATTTGTGGTTTTAAAGAGAATCAAATTTACAGAAAACTGTAATAGTGATTTGTTCAGTTTTTCACTTGTATTTGCCACTGATCTGTGCGTTCTGCTTGGTTATGTTTCATGCCTTTTCAAGCTGTTAGCGTTGCAATGCTCCCTTTGTTTCCTTACCAGAACACGGTGGACATTCCAAAAACAAAGCAAGTCAAAAAGATCGTGATTTGAATTTATTTAAAGGATCTCCAAATTGTTTCATAGAGTAAAAATTACAGTAATTCTGTATTTCAGCTTGTCCCATGGATAAATATTGAGTGCATTTCTTCGTGACTCGCAAACAGCTGGGGCACTGCAACCATAGGGATTAACCCTGCCTGGTGCTCTCTACCTACAGCATTTAATGATTTCAGTGGGAACTCTGAGTGTTCGGCATCTTCCGGGCTCGATCGAAGTGCAGAGGATTTTTGCACCAAACTGTAATGGATGTTATCAAAGGCTCAACACGTGAAATCCCCTTGGAGGAATTCTAGACCCTTAAGATAACAGAACTCGATAACTTCGCTAAACAGTTTGAGTGTGCGAGGACAGGCGTTGAGCAGATTGGCTTGCGTTAATAGAATTGCACTGACAGTGTTTCTTATAGGATTACTGAATAATTTTTTAATAAAATACAGATTTTATAATCAGGAAGCCAATGCTAGGTACTGGAACAATAGTATGGAGGAGTTGATTTTTATTTCTACAGTGTTAAAAGTGCACTTATATGCTGGTTTATTTACATCTTGGGGAAAGGCGAGAGACTGCAAATAGGGAGATTATTACTACTTTCTTTTTTAAAAAAAGAAGGCTTAAGGTAAATTTTAAGACTAAAAATGTTTAAGCAATTATAAGCGAGGCTAGACCCTTTGAAAAAAAAAAGTTTAGAAATATTCTTAAAATAAATTTTTATAGTGTTAATTTTGTAATAATTTATGTTTTGCTATACTTCAGAGCTAACTGACCGTATAGTTTCAGAAACAGTATGAAACTTAGGAAAGTTTAAGCAATGTTTATATTTTTAAAATGTTCTTTGAATTATGTTTTTATTGTACATTTCTTCAGACTGAAAAATGTGTACATATCTTTGTTATTTTTGCACAATTTTTGTCTCGTTCAGTTTTAGGAGCAGTGCTATGTTGATTTTTTTTTTTTTTTTTTTTTTTAATTTATTTTGAGTTATAAAACCGCAGGAGTTTATCAATCTCAGAAACAAATCATCCTCTGTAACCAACGAGCGGCTGTTTCTGGCTGTTGAGGGAAGGGAGTGGTTGTGAGGTGCAGTGGTCGCTCCTGAGGAGCAGCGCTCAGCAGCGGGTGGAGGAGCGCTGTGCTGGGGCTGGGAAGCTTTAAGCTCTTTCCACGCCTCTTGGATTGGAAAGCTGGAATATGGAGCCTGTCCTTTGAATGCTGCTTAATTGTTTTGTTTCAACCGGCTTACACCTGGCAACATTGGGGGAGGTTAAGCACCAAGTCAAATCCCACAGTCTTTCATCGTCAAGTAACCATTATTTAATTACAAGTATTGAAAATTTCAGCCTGAAAAGTGAAATGGAAGTAAGCATTTGAATAAAACGGATATAAACTGGACCAGCCTATAATGCATTATTAGTGTAGCATTCACTCGGTAGTTCTTTTTCGTTACCCTTTGCCTGAAAATCTTGTGATTTGTTTCCAGCAATAGAGGCTCAGAAGCTTTGGTTGTTACACATACGCAATGCATAGGCCCGTCAGCCATAAAAAGCGACTTGGATAACTTGTATGCCTTCTTTTGTATCGATGTAACAATTGTAAATAGTGCTGATCGACCTTTGTAGAGAATAGTTTATACAGCATATTCTATTATTGCTGATTCTCAGTGAACTATTGTTTTAAAAAAAAGAAGAAAAAAAGAAATTTTTCTATTTACACCTTATATTTTGTTATGCTGTCGACCCATGGCACTTTAACAAAACTCTGTGGGTTTTGCATAGCTGGTCAGTCATGGGGTATATTAAATAACTGTTGTTGCACAGAAATGAATTTGCACCTGCTATATTGTGCTTTCCTACTACAGATTTTAGAACCTTTTCCAGAAGACTTTTGAAGAAAGCATGTCCAATCATTCTAAGAAAGAAATGCCATACTTGTACAGCCAATTTCTTTTCTACAATCCATATTTTGTAACACTAAGTATTTTCATTCTTTGTCCTGCACCTTTATGTATTAGCAGTATCAAATAGAATCCATTCCATGCTTGTGATAATTGTAAGCGGAATAAATGTCTAAAGTAGGTGTAAATAGTAAATTCTATGGCTTACAGTTTAAAAAAGGAAAACCAGAACAAACATGTATCTGATTGATACTGCCATGGTTCAGCACCGGGCCTGGAGATATTCTCTAGTGAGCGATTGTATTTTTGGTTTTTTTGTTTTGTTTTGTTTTGTTTTGTTTTTGCTTTATTATTATTATTTTTGGGTTTCTTTTTTTTTGTAACATGGCTTTGTAAATAAAATAATTTATATGTTTGTAAGAAAGAGATGAGTTTTGTCATTATTTATCTTTGCAGAGCCAAGCGGTGTGTATTGCAGGGCTGCCCCTTCTCCTCCCTGGGGCTGACATACAGAGCACAGATGGGTGGCCAGCGCTGAGAGGTTGTGCCGGAGATCTGCCCAGCTCCCTCTGCAGGGCTGAACTGATCTGGAATTATTTTTGGCACTCGTGTCTAAAATATTCCTGTGCTTACACATCAGGACGTGCATCTTCAGCGACTGAGGGTTTTATACAGTAGTGTTTCAGTTCCTTTGCTTAGCTGAATGTGTTTTCTTACTTCTTATCGATGTAAGAATTAACCTCACCAGAGCTGCTGGATTTAGGAAATCTGACTTCAACGAGCAGTGCAAATATATTACCAGTCTTTTTTACCATTGTTAATTCTAAAAATGCAACTTTGAGCTCTAAGTGCTACGATCCTTGTTCTGTGTGAAAGCCTGCTCCGGTTGCAAATGAGACTGACACTGTTTGGTGCCCCATCAGCTTTGCACAGAGCATTGCTGGTTTTTCTCTCGGCAAACCTCTTCTGCAGATCTGGGAACATGTACACTTCATGTTGCTCCTCTTAGGAACAACAATTCTGGAGATACTGTAGGAAAGAGACATCATTGCAGCATGGTCTTGAAAGCAAGAAATGGAACTGCAAGCTGGGGTTGTGTATGCATCCATTTAGAACAGGCAGAAGAGATAGCAAGCTGCCCTGGGTTACAGGAAACAAAAATAGGAAGAAGACTTTACCTTCCAGCTGAACAGCGTTGTGTGTAATGTCTTGCTTGTTCTTGATGCCTGTGGCAAAAGCTAATCCTGAACTTCCTCTTTACCACACAACGTGTTTGGGCTGCTTATATTTTGATGTTTCTTTTTAGTCTCAAGTTTAACCTTTTCAGTACGCTGTAAAGAAACCAAACATCATTTGGTCACAGTGCATGTTGAAGTTTCATCTGACAGAGTGATCTCCATGTGTGCTTGAAGACAGCTGAAGAGACACTGTGTTTGTGAGATGGTATTTCTTACAGACGTCAGAAATCAAGGCTACAACCAAGAAAACAGATTATTGCAGCCACGAGTTACTGGTTGCTTGCCATCATCTGTCACAGCCAGCAGAGGTCAAGGGCCCTACGTTTATTTTCCAAATATGACTGAGTCATTTATTAGTGCTTGCAGCTTTGCTGTCCTGGTTTACAAGCTGTTCTCTGTTTGGTTTCCCACACCCTTTTGGGTTATGCAACAAGTATTTTGCTTGCAACAGTATTCTCCTATTCTCTAACACGCTCTAAATGCCACCAGTTCCAGAGGTAAGCAAATCACACCAGAACTTTTTTATTTATTGCACTCTAGTTCTTAGGCTTCTGTTTTTACCAGGGAAATATCTGTTTTAGAAGAAAGTCATTGCTGTCTCAACCGGTATCTGTTTTACTCATCCAAATCTGTCAGGACTGACAATTGGAAGCCACACCAATTACTGGTTCCAGAAATGTTTGGAGGCGATTCATGCAGCAGATTCAGACTTTTGAACACAATGTTCATTTCATGCAATTTTTTCTGCTGTTTTTCTCCATGAATACCTCCTGAAAGTTACAACTCCAAACAAGTACAGGCCTTTTTTAAAACTTAATTTCCTAGGCTGAGGGCAGATGCAGCCAGTAACTCATTAGCAGGCCCTGGTTTCACTTTCAGCTGCAGAATGCACAGTAGATGACATGCATGCTCTCCTGTTCTCATTTCGTAACGCCTCACAAATTACATGAGCTGGGTTCTCCTTTTTTTGGGTGGGCAGGGGGCTGCTTTTTTTAGTGGTTAAGGCTGACCTGCAGTAGCATAAAGATCTGATCTGTGAGCAGCTCTCTCCACAGAAGGGAGAAAGGAAGAATTCCAAAAGCTTTCCCATTTCAAGGAGAGCTTGCCAGAAATCCTCAGGATCCAGGAGGGACTGATTTTGAAAGTAAAGATACCAGAGGGATTCCTTGTGGTGCCAAATGTTCTGCTGCCCCTTTGTGTATTTTCCAAACCTGTCAGGTTTGGTTCTGAAATGAAAGCAGGGTTTGGTTAATTCAGAGCAGTTAAGAAGATTAATGTGACACCACACAGGATTTCTTTTTCAGAAAAGCTGTTTGGCATGAACAAAGTAAATGTACAGCATGCTACAGGTGTTGTTAATGCCTGTTGGCATTAATGCAGTAAGTGGCTGAAAAATTTGCGAGTCCCACGTGTCTGCAGCTGGGCTTGGACTGAGCCAGGGAGCGGAATGGTGACAAAGCATCACTGCAGAAGGGGAACCAGCCTTCCTTCCCAGTGGCAAATATACTCCGTGCTGATTTGGAGCGCTGTGTCACAGGTGAGCACATGTGGCCTGGAAAGGATTACTCAGGTTCAGCCCTTTAACCTCACCTACCACAGATGCAGAATACATCAGCCCATAGTCCTTCAGATTCTCTCAGTGTATGCACAAAGCTTTCCTTTCTGGTCAGCTCCACTCTTAAATTGCAGCTATTTGCTTTTACTTTTACTTTTCTTTTTTTTTTTTCCCCCTCTTATTTTGATGCATCTGGTTTTTGTTAGTGGTGGTTTTGGCTTTTTATTGTTGCTGGCTTTGTTTTGTTTTTGTTTTGCCTACAGCTGCTTAGTTAAATTCCTTCCTTGTTAATAGCTTTTAGGATTTGTGTTTGGACCTCACAGCCTGAGGAGTAACCCCAACACAGCAGGTTTGCCTCTTCATTTTCAAGGAGACACCCTGAAGGTGCAGAAAGCTGGTTTTCACTTGGGTTATTTTGCAGAGCTGGACACTGACAAAGAAAACAGCCAAAAGGAAGTGCTCCTTTCAGCCTGCTGCCTTCAGCTACATCATGAGTGACTGCAGAGAAGATGGGCCCAGACTTCATAGTCATAGAATCACAGAATGGCTTGGGTTGGAAGGGACCTCAAAGATCATGAAGCTCCAACCTCCCTGCTGCATGCTGGGCTGCCAACCTTCATATCTTCTACTCTCTGAGTTGGAAAAATGCCCATCCGCCAGTCCTCCCCTGCCAGCCAAGTAGTGCTGCAGCTGGCAGCACGGCTGCCTGCAGGCCCTGCTCCTCTCGGTTTCACTCTTTAGGACTGTTGGTAGTCTATGTAGTGCTTTGTAATGAGGTAGAGGGAAGGCTGAAGTTACGTGTTGCGTTCTACAAGAGGCTCATCTCCTGCCGCAGCAGTTACTAAGTAAAAGTCTTCCGGCAAAATTCAATTTTAAATAAATAACTGCACAAAAATAGATGTGGTCCTTGCGGTTGTGATAAAAAATTAGCAAGCATTACTGTGATGAAACCAGAAATCATTCAGATGCGTCGTCAAATCCTGTTCTTCTTCACCAGCAGAAATGCAGTTCCTCTGGTGAGCATCTCAGAGCTCACCCTGCTGCTGCACGCGCTGTGCTACGGACCAAGGACAAGTGCCCTACACGATGTGTCAGCAGAACGTTTCTCGAGGAAATAAATTGTGCTTTCTTAACAAAGAAATGACATTTTATATATATATATATGTTCCTATGGTGGCTTGCTTTGCTTCGTGATTCGTGGAACCGTTCCTGACAGAAGCACGCTGACTTCAGCCTGCGGTTCCCGCGTGCGCACACTGCGAGCGTCAGCTTTCAGTCGCGTGTTTCGCGCTGCTGCCCGCCGAAGGAGAGCCGCGCCGTACCTCACGCCGCTTCCCTGCCCCAAGCGCTGACTCCCCGCCCCCTCCCGGCCCCGAGGTCCGCCCCGCTCCGCCCGCCCTCCTCAGGCACCTCCGAGGGCTGTGACGGCTGCGAGGGGCGGCGGTTTGGCTCCTAGCAACGCCATGGCGGCGGGCGAGCGGCAGAGCCGCGAGTACCTGGAGCGGCACGGGCTGCCCGCGCTGCTGCACCGCCTCGCCGCGCTGCTGCTGTACCGCCGGCCCGGTGCGGCCCTCCGGGGGAGGGGCTGAGGGGAAACGAGGGGTTGGCGGCGTTTATCGCCGCGCTCCGGAGGGAGAGGGGTTCCGTCGGGGCGGGGAAGGAGACCCTCGGGGCGGCCGCGGGGAGGGGCAGAGGAAGGGGCGCGGAGGGCCCGCCGCAGCGGCAGCCCCGGCCTCGCTCCGTTGCAGAGCGGCCGCGGCAGTTCCTGCTCCGGGCGCTGGAAGCGGTGCGCGCGGCGCGGCGCGGCGAGGCGGCGATGCCGTCCGTGCTGGACGAGGCGGACGTGGAGGCCGTGTTCAGGATGCTGGACGCCGCGGGGCGCGGCTTCGTCACGGGCAGGCAGTGCCGAGCAGGTCGGTCCCGCGGGCGGCGGCTCCGCGCGTTTGTTAAAAACGTTTCAGGTCTCTGCCTGCGCGCACCGTGACGGTATCGGCTCGCGCTTCGCAGCGTTAAATATGTTTACTTTTAATGATATCCCGGTCGCGCTCTGCCGTCAGTCTGCCGAAGACTTGCTCGGGAACCTCTTTCCTTCCCCTCAGCTCTCAAGACGCTGGGGCTGAGAACCGCGGAGCTGCGCGTCGGGGATGAGGAGGAGGTCGGGCTGGCCACGTTCAAGGAGGAAATGTAAGTGCCGCCGCAGCTCCTGCGGGAGCTCGGCCTCGAACCTTAGCGCCTCGCACTGCCGGACCTGAGAAGGCCGATGCTGTAGCACGGATTGGCTGCTGAGCTTTCGGGCTCCCAGCAAAGCAGCCCTCCCCATTCCCCACAAAGCAGGCAGCATCAGGCAACCCAGCAGGTCATAGCAGCGTAGGATGGCTTGGGATGGAAGGGACCCCAAGGCTCGTGAGTTCCAACCCCCCGGCGCGGGCTGGGCCACCCGCCTCCAGCTCTGGTACCACAGCAGGCCGCCCAGCGCCCCGGGAGGCAAATCGCTGCTATGGAAACAAACAGCGCGCTCAAGCAAAGCTGACTTGTAACGCAGCACAGGCAGTAGCGCAGCAATGAAGCGAGCTCCAGCTCGCACTCATTGCTGCTGGTTACGGCATGCTTCGAGGGACGCTGCTTGGTAACTTACAGCCACTGCAAGAAAACAAACCAGCTGTTCTCTTCTGTCCTAGGATGAAAACGTTGCTGGAAGGCTGGACTGTGTAATGATTTGAATGGAGGTCTGTTCTGCATACTAGAAATAGGTATTTTGCTCCATCCATTTTTTGGTGTGTCAAGACAAGTTTAAGCAGTGCCCTTATTTTTCCCTCATCCATTTTAGCTGTCTGCTGAAGAGAACAAATGACAAAAACATGTTTGTGTTTACCAGGCACTAGAAATGTATTAATTAAGATAATAAGATCGCCTGATTAAATAGAAATCCTGTTTCCAAATCAAAAGTGTTCTGGCATTTCCTCCTTCAACTGTGGCCTCACAGTGCTGGTACAAAAAACATCATCAGCTTCAGTAACTTCAACACATTCACGGTTGGAGAAAGAGAGCATTGCCAAATAACACAACTTTTAAACAAGCTCAAGAATAAAGGAAGTCCTATTCAAAAAACAGAGGGCACTTTGGGACAGAAAAAAAGAAGGATTTTGAATTAATGTTGATAAATAAAAGTGATAGATTCCTTCATTCCATGCTGAGTCTTGCTGTGCACATTTTAATACAGAACACCCATTGAACCAGGGATTTAGAAGTAGAAAACATCTGCACTTAGGTGAGAGTGTACCCGTTGTCCATACTGCACATAGCCGCACTTGCATACATGCATCAGCTCCGTATTCACTACACCACTGTGACAGCATCCCAACTCAAAAAGGCAGACCATCAGAAAACAAATAACACATTCATTAGTAATGAAGAACCTGTGAGCTTCGAAGTGTGAAGACAAAGTAGTGATGGAAAAGAAAGTAAGATCTGTGCAGTTAGAAGACAGGACCATAGCATCTTATTTTTTTGGAACTGTATATAATAAAAGATTAGATCGGACCAATGACACAGCTTTCTGCTTTTCTGAAACAAGTGATCTAGATTCAGTTTTAACCACTTCTGAAAAAAGTCTTTATTTGCCTGTATTTGGCCAAATAGCTCTCAAATTGAGAAGAATCTCAACATCCTGTTGTGCTAATTTGTAAACTCCCAGTTCATTTAACGCTGCTGTTGCTGATGGCTGGTTTGGCTGTAACGGTGCTTCGCTTTCTGAGGCTGACTGCAGTACTTCCTTCAGAAGCAAGGCAGAACCAATATTCAGATTCAGGATAATGCAGGCTTCTTTGATGCTGCATGAGGGGAAAAAAGGTACATATGGATTAATAAAAGAAGCAACCATGGGATACTTAATTTTGTATGCCCAGCAACTAAGAAAAAAAAGCTCCCACTGACTTCTGAAAATGGTCAGAAGTACTGAACTGGAAAGTACTGCTTATAGCATGACAAATATGAGGGAGGGTTATGACAGAACAAGGGGGAATGGTTTTAAACTGAGACAAAGGAGATTTAGGTGAGATATTAAGTGGAGGTTTTTCACTCAGAGGGTGGTGACACACTGGAACAGGTTGCCCAAGGAGGTTGTGGATGCCCCATCCCTGCAGGCATTCAAGGCCAGGTTGGATGTGGCTCTGGGCAGCCTGGTCTGGTGGTTGGCGATCCTGCACATAGCAGGGGGGTTGAAACTAGATGATCATTGTGGTCCTTTTCAACCCAGGCCATTCTATGATTCATTCTCTGAAATAGCATATTTATTTTTGTTAAGTATTTTCTGTTACAAACATCAAAGAATCACATAATGGCCAAGGTTGGAAGGGACCTCAAGGATCATGAATCTCCAACCCCCCTGCCACATGCAGGGCCACCAACCTCCTCATTTAATGCTAGACCAGGCTGCCCAGGGCCCCATCCAGTCTGGCCTTGAACACTTCCAGGGACGGGGCATCCACAACCTCTCTGGGCAGCCTGTTCCAGCACCTCACCACTCTCTCTGTAAAGAATTTCCCCCTGACGTCCAACCTAAATCTCCCCTCCCTCAACTTAAAACCATTTCCCCTCGTCCTGCAGTTACCAACCCTTTCAAAGAGTTGATTCCCCTCCCCTCTGTAGGCTCCCTTTAGATACTGAAATGCTGCAATGAGGTCAACGTCAACACTATGCCTCCCCAAGAGCACAGATGATACACATATTTTAAGTATTTCTTCCCCTCTCAAACTGTGAAAAAAATCTTGATGATAGATAAAACACATGCATCTGGACATTCTTTTCTGAAATACTGATAGATGAGATTTCCCACTTACTGCTTGAAGTAGTTTTCCGGCCTCTTACAGTAGTGTGAAAACAAAGGAAAAAGATTTCTGGTCATGTCAAACTGAAGCTGTGCTGCTCCTCCTTCGTTGAAATGATTTGCCATAATTATCTGCCAACAGAAAGGGGTGTATCTTTTGTTTAGGCCAGCCACCAACACTTATGCTGTACCACATATATTTTGTGAACACCCACCTCCTGATATATGTAAGTGTCCACTTTCTCTGCAAGCATTTGCCAGAATATTTTAAACAGAGAGTGACAGAGCTGCTGTTCTAGTTGGAGCAAGCGGTCTCGTAGAGTCAACAACATTGGGCAAGCTGTGCTTGACAAAGACATTACTGCCTGCTCTGCTTGAGATGGTAAAGATAACCACCTGAAAGAAATTAGCACACTGAAGTCATTACAGTGAAATTATTCGTATTACAATAGCTGAAGTTAAAATATCACTTAAACAAATCTTAGCTGTTCTCAATGGTGCACAGTTTTCTCCTTTTCCACTTCAAAGCTAAAAGTAATCACTGAGCTGTTGTATTTGTTTACTTTTTTTTAGGAACTCATCATCAACCAGTCAAGAAACCTTGTGATTCTGTGAAGACAGAAGTAGTCACTACATGCCACTTTTTTGAAGAGAAGAATTCTCATCTAAACTATATTTACTCAGAATTCTTCCTTGTTTTTTTTTTTTTAAGCTAATGTGCCCACTTATTGCAGAAGTGCTTTAGAAAATATAACATTAAATAGGCTTGAAGTAAGCGTAAAAAAACCCTTCAAATGCTTACTACTTGAGCCCTTCCTATTCAGAAAGCTGAATTTCTTATTTTTCTGTTCTTGCCTTTATTTGCCTCAGTGTTTTTAACAGAAAAAAAGATACTGCAATGTGAGAAGAGAATGAGCAGACAGAATCACCTCTCTTTTTTGTACAGCTTTGCAGCATCTGTGACCTCTTTGAAGATGTGGTGCACTTGACGACTCAACATATCGTGTTTCAGGCGTTCCAGGAGGTTGATCATTTCATCAAAGACAGAACTCTCCATTGAAGCCAGCTGCCCCAGCTGCAGCTGGCTGACAGCATTACTTTCTGCGCAAACCTCCAGTTCAGCCTGCTGTAGCTGCAAGAAGAACTAGAGGAGACAATATCAGATATAAGTACTACCAAAAATAATCTTATTATTTGAACTTTTCTTTTGTACTTTAACAGGTAGGGTTCTAGAAAACACTCTTCTGACACTTCCATAATCTTACAATTTTAAGATTATAAAAACAATTTCCACATGGTCCCCATGTTTGTAAAAACAAAGCACTGTGTTTTAATCCTAAGAGCGTAACCAATATGGGTTTCAAATACAACAGCAGACAGGTCAAAGGAACAGATTCAGAGAAATACTAAGTAGGTGCTCTAAGACAGCAGAACACTTTAAAACAGTCAAAATCACTTGCCCTCGCCCCATCCTATCTGCAACAATAAGATGGAACTTAATATTTGTTTCAGAATTAATGTCTCTTTAAATCGTAATTTTGCTGGTCTGACAACAGCAAGGAAATGGATTGGGTTCAACATGACAGCAGCAATTATCTCCATTTTGCTTCTAAGAACATCAAGATGTTTATGCAGATGCAGCTACGTAACATGAAGGCTGCTCTTCCCTCAAATCAAGATGATTTCCTAGAGCCACAGTTTTCTATGAAGGTAAAAAGAACCTGGAGGCTGTCCATCCCACACACAATGCCTATTTACATCTTTTACATGTGACAGTTGTATGACCTTGTATCACAGTAGTCAGAACAGCTGAGTAGTCACCAGGCTATTATATAGCAATATATACACCCAATAACCAGTTATCAGTGAGTGGTGTTTCTGTGCACCTGGTCTGAGCTGTACTGTAGGTACCCAAACCAAATCCATTTAAGCTAACTTAGCACAGGAATTCAAGAAACGTGTGTATGCTACTGCTCTCCATGCACTTCAACCAGCAACACGCTGGCTCAGATCTCCAAAATCAACTTGCTTACTTTTACAATATGGAGCACGTAAAGAGACAACCTTTTTGGCTGTTCAAACTATTTCATTCCTCAGGTTCTCTTTGCATCTCTTACCAACTTTATTTTTAATAAAGCTTAAACATCAAATGGTAATCTACCAAAATCTTTTTTATTCAATCTGAATTCATATCTAGTTCTATTTTTTCCCTAATTAATTCTTCTGAATACATTTAAACAATGCTGAAAATAAAATGTTTTATTACGACACAAACAGAACTATTCAATATTTTAAATAATTACTTACTACATTGTCAGCCCAGTCTGCCAGCACAGTTGCTATGTAGTTAACGGCATTGAGGATTGCACAGTATCGGAAGCCTAAAGAATCTCTACTCTCCTCCTTCATTACTTGAGTTAATCGTATCCTAAAATCATCAACTAACTCCTTTTGTAGCCCCAGGAACTGCAGTTTTCTGGAAGCCGTTGGAAGATTCTTATACCTGTCTGGGAATTAATATAATGTTTTATATTTTCCAACACTGAAGAAAAAAGTTTTGAACAAGAGACATTACTGGCAGCTTGTCCTTACTACTATAAAGGCATCACACAGCACTTCAAAACACCTGACTCACAACAGTATCAAGGAGAACACACCACAACCCCTCGGGCAACCTGTTCCAGTGTGTCACCATCCTCTGAGTGAAAAACTTCCTTCTAATATCTCACCTAAATCTCCTCTGCCTCAGTTTAAAAGCATTCCCCCTTGTCACCATCCACCCTCGAAAACAGCCATTCCCCCTCCTGCTAATATGCTCCCTTCAAGTACTGGAAGCCGCAATGAGG